TTTGCAATTGCGTAACACATAACAACATTCATACCTCCGTGTACCAAACACACGTCTGTTGTCAGTGGTGTTAACAACATTACTGATGCTAATTTTATCTTTTCATTCAATTGAGCTGTGCAGCAATGTATCTTAACATTTGGACGTGTGCGGTGAATTTAAGGCAACTACTTGTTAATTTATCTCCTGCAATTTTAGCATTGAATATACAAAGTATGTTGGTAATTTTTTTTTAATTGGTTGCATGATTCTACCAAGCAAAAACAATCCATGTCTTCCCAGTAGATGAATGCCTCCAGCAATTTGTGTATGCATGTCCTGAATGATCAAAGTTAAAGGCCCATACTGTACTCAAATATAATTCTGTGTATTTTTCAGCTGATCATAGTTCTAGTGTTAGTGGCAATCAATTAATTTAGCCATGATATAAAGTCTGAAAAAAATCTGATCTACATGGTGTCAAAGTTCAGTTTTTTAAGTTGTTTTCTGACACGTGAGGAGTATGTGCATTAATATCCAATGTTGCCTTAAAAAACTCTCACACACAGATAGTGCACACACACCTGATTACTTCTGTAGAGCAATCAAAGCAAATGTATCCAATTACCAATCCAATTACCAGTTCCCTGACAGTGGCTCCTTTCATTGCTTTGACAATAGAGCAGCATGCCCTTAGTCATATGAACGGAGATCTTGTGATGTGGTGATATGCCAAGTTTTAAATAAAGACCCAAGACTAGTTCCACATGCAAAACAATGTGACACTTCTAACAGCCAAGTTCACAGACTTGGTCTAGGGGATGTCCAGAGCACATGGAAATAAAAGAGTCAACAGATTTTTAGCGCCATAGATATACAGAAAAATCGTTCACCAAACCTTTTTACTTAACTCAAGGGATGACTTCACGTAACTCACACATGCATCTATGTGAAGTGAATGAATGACCCATGGGTGTAATAGTATGCAATGTGCTGAACATTGAGAATTATGCATGATCAATTATTTAGTTTTTAATTTAATTAATTAATTTAACATTAATTGAATTTGAATTTTGTTGGTGATACTAAATCACTTAAGTGATGAGCCCAGTGGGAAGGAGGTACATCCCTGTTCACACTGTAGAATATAGTGACAGCAGACAACATATAGGCTTACTGGTCACTGTATTGAAAACCTACATGTTCTGGGTTTCAATAGAAGTCAATTAAAGTTTCGAAATGGAATATATATATATTTTTTTTATTATATAAATATTATAAACACATGAGGACAAAATTTGCCTACTCAAACACAGTAATTTACCTGAAACCTCATTCCAAAATCTAAATATGATTTACCTGTTAAAATACTATGCAAACCAGAGGCTAATAAATTGGGAGCAATTCTTCATATCAGCAAGGGCCAACACATCAAGCAGCAGAGATCTGAATCAAATTCCATTTGTCCCTCACACCAAACTGCAATTCTCCAGGGGGTTGGGTACTCACATTTGTCCAATATGTCAATAAAATTAGAGAACTAATGATAGGCTATGCCGAAATGCCAGGCTGTCTGTGTTCATTAAAACGTTTAATGTGGGGTGAACAGCTTTCCTTTTTGCCGATATGCAAACATTTAATTTGCCCGACTGGTAATAGAGTTTGGCTTGCTAACGTCTTCATAAGGAACATTCGGTGATGGCTCTGTGAATTAATTAGTGTGCCTACCTACAGACCTGCGCTGCCTCCGCGCGTCCTATAATGAAATTACACTGAAATAACAAATGTGACTTTCACTTTTCTGTAAATTGAAGGTGTGCTTCATTGTGTAAATGTTTATTGTAAATGTTATTAGTACCAGATTACTCGGTTGAATAAACAGTGTGTCCTTACCTGCACGTTATCTCCAACCAAAAAAGCTCCGCCTACCCGTTGGACCCAGTTCAGTGTCCCTCTTCCTCCTCCTCCTCCTTTTCTGCTTCATCCTGTAGGAGGACATTTTACTTGGTCTGTTGGTCCCAGGCCATTTCTAAGAATTGATTTTACTAAGTTATCGGAATAACTTGAACTTCTAAGAATTTGAGATCAAGAGTAGAGTGTGGCTGTTCAAACTGTAGGCCTACACACACTGGCATAAGTGGAATGATCAGATAAACTTAAAACATTCCTGATTAGATAGAAATCAGACAAAAATGAGAGTGGAAGTGGGAGGAAGACAGGAAGGATAAAATAATTACAGAAGGGGGAGGAAGAAAAGAGTCCGGAAACAAAAGTAGGGCATAGAGGATGGTGGATGAGGATGAAGGAAGAAGGGATTGACAGTGACTGTCATGCATGATACCAGTCAAATTTTATAACATTCCTACACTAAAATCAATAGATTGTCCAATATAAATGTCATTTTCAACCAGAGGAGTTTTCAGAGCGTTGAGCGCTGCACTCCATTGTATGAGAGGGGGGCAAACATGATGTTAGTGCACCATGCAATAGGATGAGAGGTTCACCTGGAAAAGTGTTGCAATTTCACATTTACCTTTATGACAATAGTTTTAGTGGAAGACTGAGAACAACTGTGTATTGAGCTAATTGTTGGTCTGCAGGACTTTCCTACACAAGTGTCAAAAACCTGGACACCTCCAAGTTGTCTGCAGCTTACACTAGTTTGACAGGTCAGACTCCTCCGTCCTGAAATTTGTCTTTTTCTTCGTTTTAGGTTATACTCATGACCCAGTGAGACATTTCCTGGACTCATTTCTTGACCTGTCATTATAGTTGGAGCATGCTGTAAGTTTTACTCTGATCCCTTTTACTTAAGGTGACAGCTTTAACACAGAAATGCATCTGCAGTATTGTTGTCTTTAAGCAGCTGCACCTGTTTTCTCACTATGGTGGGATGGATTGTAAGAATGTGTTAATAGGGTAAGGTGACATTAAACACACTCTGAAATCCCTCCTCTTTACCAACAAATGGAGGGGCTTCTGAAAACCCATCTGAGATACCAGCAACAGGAACACCATGACACCTGTTGGTAGAACAAAATAAGTGCAGAAAATGACTTCTGAATCCACACAGCAAACAGAGGAGTGTAACTATTTATTTCAAAATGTGACATTTTTTAGAAACCACTGTGAGGCATATAAGGGGGTAGGACAAAATGTATAAAACACATTAGTAGAGAACAAGAGTTGTCAACTTTTTGTGCACCAAATACTTTGATGAGACACTGATGGACAACATTATATTAAATTGTTCTGAGCAAAATTATCGCTAGGGACGATTCAGTATTGCTGGTTATTAATGCCCTGTTAATACGTCAATTTTGAACATCCTAAGATGCCAGATAACATCTTCCATTTTAGGTGCTGTCGCTATGCTGCTTTATCAGTTTCTGAGAGGAAACCCTACATACAATAACTACAAGAATGAAAATGATTCCCCACTAAACTGACCTTGTATGAAATGATTTATTATTAATAAGTAATCAATATTGATATGCTTACTTATGGAGAAAAATGTACCTAATACAATATCATAGTTAGCATTTAATAAATCTAATTTAACTTTTGTTCTTTCATGAACAGTTGAATGGGAATCACAGTCTTCCCGTTTAAGACACCACATTTGTTTTCAGGAAGAAATTCTTATGAACTGAGACACATACGGTTTGTTGTTCACCTTCTGGGTAGGAAGGAGAGGCTGTAGAGGATGTAGAGTACAATTGCTATCAGAAGAGGTGAGGTTGTTTCTATATCACTTGGACTAATTTTGGGGGCATTTACTTAACTCTGAAATGTATAATTGTTACATTATATTGTAAAATAAGCAATCAATTGACGGCACAATGATTTGTTTTATTTGCGGCTGCCGCACTTGTCTCATTCACTTTTTATCTCCTGATGTGCTCCTCTACAGGAGAGAGAGTAAGAGAAATCTTCTGTGTGGTTACTGTATTTTAGGGCTTCAGGATCATCATATAGGCCGAGACCAATTCTTGATATTATAATTGCGATTGTAATGTTGACTTCATAGAACTACTATTGTGCTAAATACACATTTTATGTAGGCCTATTCTTTTACAGGATGTAGACATTAAAAATCACATTATGGCTGTCTAGTTTACTGAAATAATTTGAATACATTGACTAGAAGCTTACGACATCAGAGGATTATATTTCATTGTTTTGATAAAAATTTTTGCTAGGGACAATTCAGTAGTGCTGGATATTGGGTGGGACATTTCCCTACCATCTCTACTAAATTCTGCGTCCTTAAGGGTGCCTGAGTAGGGTACTCATTTAGCCTATCAAAATAGAATAGAATATCTTTATTGTCATTGTAACAGTACAACGAGATTAAGTGCAGTCCTTATTCAGCGCAAGACAGGGTAATAAAATATAAAACACTAAAATATACATAAATATACAGATAAATAACAACAGACATATTCAGACATTCATTCAACAATATTGCACAGTCCCTTGTAACTTGTAAAAGTAAAGTGACAGTGTAAAGTGTATTTGTGAATTATTTTTTATCAGCATTTACTGCACTGATGGCTGTGGAATAGAAACAGTCTGTTTGTTCTTGTTTTTGAGAGTCCTCACTCTGATATTAATCACCCCCCATACACCTCACGGCACGATGCATGCTCCATACACGCCTTGCATCAACTCTGCGGCTGCTGACAGCCATATTGTACATCGCCACAATTAGCTGCGTCAAGTTTAGAACAGACACCAAAGACAAGACCGGAAATCGGGCTTTTCTTCCATTCAAAGTAATCTAAAAATATCAATATAGGTTGAGAGAAACTATCTGGGTAAGATACATTTGAAGGTTCAGCTCCTATGCGCTCTCCTATTATGTTTGATAGCAACGTCATTGTGTATAGGAGTACAAGAAGCTTTTGGAGAGCCAAAGTTGCAGTGTATCTACTTCTTCTCCTCTCCCGTTTCTACGAGGCTTTTATTTTTAAAGTTGAGACCGGAAGCCGCGGTATTATATTCCGGCTAGCTCGACAGCGGCACCCAAAATCGCCTTATGGTTAAGACTTCAACGGGTTTGTATGTCTGCGGGAATTTGTTTCAGTTAAAGCGCTAAAAGATAAGCAACGAGAACTACAGTGGATTTATCACCGTGGATATTGTGTTACATTTGAAGATACCAGGATTTCGTATCAATTGAAAGACAGACTTCGTCCCCCCGGTGAGTTGCCTCTCCCTAAAAAGATGAGCTTATCTTCAAGTTTGATGCACTAGCGGATATCCTCGTGCTCGGCCAGTTCATATCTTAAACGACGCGGTAGAAACGCTTCAAGTTGTGCCCCTTAAACTGCCTGTAAACGCACCGTTGCTTGATTTACGTAACGTTGGACAAAATCACAATTTATTGGGATGTTTCTGGTTTTCATGGCGAATGTGGTGAATTAATGCTGACCAACATTTTAAGGCTTTAAAACTTCACGTGTGCGAGGGAGGCAAATCTTGGCCAGGCTTGTCCCGTTACACCCACTAGCTTCAAAATGTCAGCGTTTCAACCTTTTTTTTGTCTATGGTTTCAGCGCGCCACCTTTTTACGAAGAGTATTTAGGATTGATAACGGCTAACGTTAGTGTGAAAGTCCGGATAAACTATGCTTGTTTGACACGACAAACGTATCTGTTTTAATTTGTCTCCGTCTTGTCATGCCGTTGTTGTAGATCACGTTATGAGAGGACTGTAACATTGTACACCATTTGATAAAATTGTGGTTAATTTACAATGTAACGGAAGCCAACACTCCGCGGCAAATGCGCAAAGCCAAACTGCTTACAAGCTACAAGTGGGCATGTCTTCATCTGGAGTAGCGTTACAATAGCCACATCTTAAATTGTTAGTCGGCTTCCTTACACAGTTTAACCATAACCATTATTTTTGTCACACTGCATTATACTCACTGTCATTGTTCTTTCTTAAAAATGCAGTTGGAACCTGTCATAGTCTAGTTTAGAAATAGTTTATGCTGTAACAGAGGATTCACTGGACATTCATTTCAAAATGAAGTAGGTGGGATTAGGACTGGGCAATAAAACATAAAATACATTTTATAGCGATATAATTTCTCTTAATAACAATATAACTGTTCAATAAATGTTTGATTTAATTTATTTGAATTACAAACGAATTAGCACTTCATTCTTCTATTAAGATATTTATTGAGATAAAGGGACTGAAAAAAGATTTGATGTAATTTTACTCATGCATGTTTGTTGAAAAAAGATTTTATATATTGTTTTGAATGTACTACCTCAGATTTGTTTAATGATCCACTGTTTGGTATCAAATGTTTGTTCTGACCATAAAGAACAGTTTGAAAACACAGTTGATCTGCTTTCACTCAGAAGCAAACATCAGCATTTAGACTAGAAGAGAAATAATGATTTGACATTTTTCCTGATAATTATTGATATCGAATGAAATGTTTTATAGCAATAACAGTTTTGGCCATATTGCCCAGCCATAGGTGGGACTAATGTAGTTGCCAATTTACTTCTACAGGATTGTATAAGACAAGAACTGAATGCCACTTGAATACCTCAGGAATGCGAATGCCATATGTAGCAACACAATAGTTTACCAAATTTAAAGGATTTAACAACAGTGTTATGTGAAAATTTGTAAAAATCTCAAAATGACAACAAGTAAAGAAAGTATAAAACCTGGTTCCTTTACACCCTTGCAATCGTTACCATATGTACACCATGTACAGCAAAGTGGTAATGCATGTTGAGATGGCATGCATAACCACTTTACTGTGCATCTGGCTGTGCACTTTTGTGCCTTGTAGCCATTGGCTGATTTAGGGATGGGATTCATTTCAGTATTTTTTTTCATTTTGTCACTTCTCTTGTGTACATTTTTCGCTCAGTTCAGTGAGCGTTTTATTTCCCGTCTCCCATAACTTCATAATCGGTTATTTTCTGCTATAGGCATGATTTTGCCAACTCCAATTTCAAAGGGGAATCACTATTTTTAATAATTCAAATGTAATCTTTTGTTTCTTGCCAAATCATTTAGTTTCAGAGAGAATACAAAAACACAAGTACATTATGTTGTATGTAGCTGCTCATATTGTTTTACTCATGTATACTATGTGCCTGAAAGAAAAATTGTCTTGCTTCCAGGTCCTGTGATACAGGTGTTGTTGCCGTCCTGTGACGGATTGATCCTCTCAGCTGTCTGGTGTGAAGAAGAGAGGAAGCAAAAATGCCAAAACCGGTAAGAGGCTGAAAGGAGCTAAATAAGAGTTGGCATGCACTACAAACATCTACAGAAATGCACCGCTAAGGGGAAGAACGGAAATAACACTTGAGTTAGGCATGTTCCCTGCTAATTGATTCAGATTTCTTGATTTAAAAATGGAGTTGGAGAGATCTGGATACATGATATGAATCAGAAACATGAAAGTTGCATGATTGTTCCTGCCTGGTCTGCTTGTATAAACAGACTCTTTAGGATTGCTCTGTAGTTGCCATAGTAGTAGGCATGCACTACCGCCCAAAGCTACGTTTGTGCATTCTGGGAAGAGGCAGTTTCATCCCAATGGCTGCTCCCACTCCTCATACTCCTCTTCCAAGTAAACAACAGCCAGAGTGTGAAATGAACTGCCTGGCCCACAGGCCTTGCAACTGCAACACTGCTGCCATTGTTGCTGAAAGGGTGGAGAGAATGCCAAAGTCCTGGGATGTGAACAACACCAAAACAAAACCAATTTGATGCAGTCCCTTCATGGCTGTCCCACCGTTGTCATGCTGCTTTTTCATCATAAACAGACTTGGGAGGAGATCCCACATGAGTCTGAGGATATTGCATGTTTCCCAATTAGTACAATAAGATATTTTCACATTATGAAATTGTCTAGCCTTCTTGTTACTGTAAGAAATCAAACTATGACACAGCAGTACTGAGTATGGAAATATTAAGGTGAAGTGGCTAAAGCTTACGTCAGAAACTTTCCTATGAACTGGGAACAACAGGCTTCAGGCCTCGCCACAAGTGAAGCACATCTCCTGCCGAGCTCTTGAGGTGGTGGGTGTTTGTGTGTGTCTGTGGGTGTGGAAAGGGGGGTTGGGAAGCTACAGAAGAGGAACTGCCAGGCACTGATGTCAACCTCCATTTCCCCCCCTTGTCCCCTGAGTCACCAGGGCACCATCCCAAAAACAGCTCCTAGGAAAGTGCTGAGCGTGACGTCTCTGTCATGGCACTGAGGCACTGACATGATAAACGGACGAAACAATAGCAGGGTCAATCAGACATGACATTATTTAGGGATTGGTGGTAGACATCAAAACTTTTGAAATAGGCCTCTTGCTCCGGCCTTTCAGTGTCAGCACCCATAAAGGCATCAAAACAATGGCAAGGCTGAGTAACTTAAGAGTTTTTGTGATCTAGCAGAGAGGGGGTACTGCATTTGTTTTTCAGTAGGGATTCTGCAGTGACAGTCACATAGAACTTCAGAGTTTCTTTTAAAACACAGAAACACATGGTTCTAGGTCATGGTATGGCGTTTGAAGTCAACTGTGAGCGCATCCTGTTGCGTTCAGTTGAAAGTGGAGCTGAAATTTTCTCAGTTTTGATTTTCACCCCTATGTGGGTGTGCAAGAAGCTGACTGATTAAAGTTGTGGTTACAGGTTGTTAAGTGATATGTCAAAAAACAGATGAAACCACTGTGTTGAGATTTTTAGTGGCAGCAGAGCATTTAAAATTACATACAATATGTTGCCTCGTAGGTATAAACCTTTTGCTAATTCAGAAAATGTTGAGAATGCTTCATAATGTAGAGATGAACAGATTGTTTAATTGATAGTAGAGAAAATGGTACAAAATAAATGCTTGTCAAAATTTATCAGAGCCCAGTGTCACAACTTTAAATAGCCTAAATTTAACTTAAAATGATATAAAGCAAAGAAAAAATATTTGAGAAACTGGAACTAGCAAATGTATAGCACTTTTTCTTGATAAATAATTTAAATGATGAATGTATTATTAAAATTGTTGCATTTGAATTGTCTTTTGATTGACTAATCATCTTACTCTGATCCATCAACTGAATCAGTGACTAAGCAAAATTCAAGTACAATTTCTCCCAAAACCTAATTGCAAAATTGAAGTTAAAATAATTAGACTGACACACATTATTTAGGAGCATCACTTAAATGGATGTGCAACTACCCGGCCCTCCTACTGACCTGTGAGCCATATAAACCATTTGCCATTGCCACACACCTGCCACCCCAGTGCTCCCACTACAATCGTCTGTCCTTTAATCGTTGTCTTGTTTTAAAATGATGTGTGCCATCACAACCATATATTGTCTAGACTGGCCCCTACCGAAGTTGCTGCAGGAAAGTGTAAGTTTAAATTTGTGCATGTGCAAACACATGTTGCACTGTTGCTCGTAGTAATAAAATTTTGTTGCACTGACTCCAAAAATGGTCGCAAAATGTGTGTAAATGGTTGCAGTCTGGGGCCCTGCCTCCTGTTTGGTTGCCTCTGTAGGGCAGGCGAATTATGAGGTGATAGCAACCCATTGGAAGAGGGCCCCTCGCTGGCTTCCCAGCTTGTTTTCCTGTTTGCTGGAGAAGGGTCCCTGCTGTGTATATTGTGGCTCAGTCTATGTCGACATCCTGTTTCTGTGAAAGTACAGAAGCAAGGTGAAGAGAGGATTATCACCTGATGAATGTTGGGAGAAGGAAGGAATCAGATGGATGAACAGAAAATGTGGCAAAAATGGTAAATCGAGAAAGAGTATGATGGGAATTTGTTGTAGTACTCTGGAGATACTCTTTGTTTTATATATTAAAAGGTAGGACAATGGTGGTGGTTACGGGAAGGGAGGAGTTGGAATACTGGTGCTGGGAAACGACAAACTGTTTGCCAGTTGTGGTTGACCCTTTGCCTCATTTACAATACAAAAGCCAGGTCCATAATCAAGTAAAGTTAAGTAAGGCCCTCCTTTTTTCCTCTTTATTATCCCTCTAGTGTATGTTGTAAAATCACTGGAAGCTTTTCAGACACTGTCAGTACAACAGTCGGCTGGACATGGATAAGTAGATTCTTTTTGTCCTCTTCTGAAAGGGATGCTTCCCACACAGCGTTCACCTTCCCCCAAAGGATGAATGTTTGTGTTTGTAGGTAGCAGTGATTCCTCCTCCGCTCTTGCTCCTCATTCTATTCCTCCCTCCCTCCCTCCCTCTGAAGCTTGCCTCACCCTGCAGGGGGGGTAATCAGAGGGACAGACAGCTGCTCAGGGCCCAGCAGGCCAGATTAGCAGCTCTACTGATTGAAGTGTGTGTGTGTGTGTGTCTGTCTCTTAAAGCTCCTCTTAACAGCTTACAGTAACTTAACAGCTGCACATTTAACAAGGGGCCCATCTGACTGAGAACTCATCTTCACAATTGAAATGGAGAGGGAGATTTAGAAACATTCCAAAAGGGCACAGAGAAAGAAAAACCCAAATGATACAGCCACTGGTTTTGAGACTGTTTGAGAAACTGATTGGCCCTCATTTGTTTACTTGCTTTTCAAGTCAGTGCTTTAGTGCAGTCTTGAAATATACTCGTTGCAACTTGAGGTCTGTTTAGTGACACTGCACATGAAGGAGGGAGAGCAAATTATAGTGTTTTGTAGGAGATAGGAGGAGACGCACTTGCAGTGCCAGTTATCTGCAGGGGAGGAAAAAGATGGAAAAATTGTCATGTGATTGGAAGTGGACATTAAGTTCCCCACAGAAGCAGCAGTGTTGTGTTTCATCTCTGCTGTAGCTGCCAGAAACTATCCACTACCATTCTAGCCAGTGTGCCGATGTCCACCGGGTGTTTGAGCGAAGTGTCTCGCTCTTGATTCACAAAAAGCTCCTATCTCTGCTCCAGTGTCTTTACAAGTCAGGTCCACAAATGTGGTATTCAGCTTAAAGCGTTAATGTACATAAATACCATATGTATTGACAATTAATTAACATAAAAATCATACCTAAAGATGCATTTTGTTTCTGACTTTGTATTAAAATATAAAACAAAAGCAAAAGTATCTCACGTTTTGAAATGAGTAGCAAGAGGGAGAAGAGAAAAAGATGGAAAATAGAGAGGGAGGTAGTGAGACAGATCAGTTCTTCCTGCTGCTAATATACACTGTTCTGGAAATACAGAATCAGGATGGTGTGGGGTATTACTGTAATTAAACAGTAAAGTAAAGCACAGCAACAAAGCATCTGTTACCACATCCAAAATGAGTTGCAAATAAGTGTTCAGAAAGCTTGCAAACACGACAAATGTAAGAATTTTGGAAATGTGGCTGCTGAAGAACAGGCTTCTTTAGATGCTGCACTTCTGCAACGCTTCCAGCAGACATTGGAAATGTGACAGAGATGTGTCGGACCAGTGTTGCAACTTGAATGTGACTCAGCTACATCAAGTTGAATTTTAAAGGCACGTTCAGATCATGACTCGCAGGCTGTATGTTGTGGAGGCATTAAACACCTGAATTTGCAGGTAGTGTGCATGCTGTTATCTGCAGAAGTTCTAGTAATTTGGCCCTTTTATGAACTGTCAAGTAGCCCAGTCAGTGTCATATAAGGACAGCCTTGCAAAAGTCGCTCCTTCAAGACTTCTCAGTTGTCGGAGTGTGTGATTAGCTGTGTCAGTGCCTTGGCATGTTTTTGTCCCCCTTCTCCTCCCCTCTCTTTGCAAGAGACAGAGTGAGAGACAGGATTAACTGACCGTCTGGTCCATGCAGGATTCCACCTCTCTGGTTGGCTATGTTTTGGCAGAGAGACACACAATGGTGGGCCCCACACAAATGCAGGGGAAGGGACATTCATGGCTGGTCACTTGGAAACCCCAGCTTAGCACTACATTCTCCATAACTACTCCCCTCTCAGAAAGTCAATGAGGCAGCTGCTCTTGAAAGCAACACAAAGTCTGCACAGATATTTTGCTGATGTGGCTTTTATCAGGGTTTGTGCACTTGCAAAAGTAGACAGATGTTGCTTCAGCTGACTTCATTTAGTGTAATGGAGTTTGTTGTGGAACCTTTTCACAAAAAAATCAGCACCTGAATAATGCACATGCCTATTTTCTAAAGTTGAAAGTCACTGATGATAAAACACTATGGACAGTGTTTTCCCCTATATGCATTCAGGAGCAGTGGTTGTTTGATTGTCCAAGCGGCAGCGTCCAAGTGATGGTGAACGTGAGTGGAGGAAAATATTCTGGCAGTAAATATACTGTGTTGGTTACAGTGTGTTAGCTTCTCAAGACCAAGAAAAGTCTGTCTGTTTCCCCAACTGATGGAAAAAATGAAGCCTGTTTGCGCTAAGTTAGCGAACATCTTACCCTCCCCTTCAAACTGCAGCTGAGCAGGAAAGCTTACACAGTAGGCTGCTATGTAACTAAACATTAGCTCAATTTATAGAGAGTAACTGGTAGCTGTATTTTATTGCTACTTACTTGTCCAATGTTGAGAACATCAGGTACAAACTTAGAGTAAACTGGTGTAGCCTACAGCTCTGTCCTGTACAGACTGGTTCATCCTAAATTATTTTTCAGGTTTCAGATGAGTCTGAAAAAGTGGTTGTTAGGAAAAGAAAGTATGGTGGTGACTGGAGGAGCTGAGGTTAGTAAAGCAAATTAGTGATGCAAACTAGTCCTTTTAAGCTAATGAGGAGACGTTTCTTTTTGGATTTTAATGTGCAAATAAAATGCACCTCAGAAGGGAGGAGGTTTCTCATGTTGCCTATTTTGTATAATTAATGTCTAAAGATAAATGTCAAAAGCTGTAAAATGAAGACACAAAAGGCAAACAAACAGTCCTATCTGTAATGATTCATTTTAACAGGGTTTTCCCGCCGTTGAGGCTTAGAGGTGATGCCCAAAACATGATGTGCCATAAATGTAAGATCACTGTGGAGAGCATCATAACCAACCGAATTACTTTCCCCAAATCTAAAGGTTGTAGTTCCTCCCCAGTAGACTGATCTTTGGGTGTTGTTTATTATCTGCTCTAGCTTTTCCAACTATTTGTTCAGAGAGATGGTGAAAATAATGGCCCAATATGATGTGAATTACATATTTTTCATTGGAAAACTTAAAATTTTCTTGGGGGAGGACCCCCAAACCCCTGACCATGACTAGCACGAACATCACCAAAACATTCCTCCTGAGCTCACAAAAACCTATGGGAAAACTCTGAAATTTGAATTGAGACATGTTGGGTTTTCTATTCTGACATAGTACGCACTACGCGCACAAAAAAAAATTTGCTTCACCTCCGCTGCTTCAACAACTCCATCCTAGGGGAAACGCTGATGGATGGCATGTTCCATTTACCTTGGAAATTGGAGCTGGGAATAACGTCACACCCAAGTTGACCGTGTTCCAGTGCAAGAGATTTAAGTAGGAAAACCAAGATAAATGCTTCTAGCCATTGTTAGCGCATACAAACACCGTTGCAACATGTCCACAGATGTAAGTTGGACAGTACTATGTGTACGATTTAATGAGACACAAATAAAGACAGAATTGCGATAATTAGTAAATTACTACAGCTTTCACTCTGTTGATGATCAGAGTAGGGCTGCAGCTAACGATGATTTTAGTACTCGAAGCATCTACAGATTATTTCATCGATCATTTAAGAAGTACTTTTGCTTGGCAGCGGTGTTAGTTTCTTTTTCGGTGGACATACGGTAATATTACTGAGTTGTTGTTTTCTTTTAGCTTGAAATAATCCCATACTTTGGACACTTTATTTTTCATCCCTCGCAATTTTCTCTTTCTTCCTCCACTTTGCAAACAGCGAAGTGCAAAGAATTTGCGTCAATGCTTTTTAGTGATCAAATTAATCGATTTAATTAATTCGAGTATTTTTATTTTTTTTTACAAAGTAGGAGAAAAGGGAGTAAACGGTCAAGGAATATATGAAAGACCCTTTTGTAGAAAGTATTCATTGCTAAATCATATCATATTTTGTGTGCAGGACATACACAGTGTAAAAAGAGAAGGTTGGAGGTGTTAATGCTTTCCACCTCTGCTAATAGATTTTCTGAGTAATAGTTCCTCTTGGTTAAAAGTTGTATAGTAGCCTCTGAAGGAACTTTGCAAAATATAATTGTTGGCTTCTTGTTTATTATTTTTTCTTCTTTCTTTGTTGTGGTTGATGGTTTGTAATTGGATTAACATGAATCCGTAATCTGTTGTTTGTGTATATGTATCAGTAAGTCAAGATCTGGTTTTCCTAGTTAGGAGTTCTGTCATGTAACCATATTCTTAGCACCCTCATTGAAATGATGTTCACAGTGCTGTGTTAGGGTGCCATGAATGATCTAGACTCACATGTAGGAACCGAGAAAAAACTATACTAGGACTTAATTATGAGGCTTACCACACTCTTAGCAGTATGTAGAAGTTTTCATCTGAGAGTGAAAAAAATAAAACGGAAGATAACAGCGTGCTTGGGTATACCTTGATATCAGAACCATAAGGTCTGGTTTATTTATGTGTTGCATCATTTTCAAATCAGGTAATTTACATAAATACAAAATATTTGCTTTTGTACCTGAATTTAGTTTATTTTCCTATTAAGTGTTAACTGGAAGATCTTGTGTAAGCAGAACAGGCACACTTTTGTAGATGCATGTAAGTCTCACAAAAGTTAACATTTTATCAGTCTTTAAAGAAATTTGTTGATTTAAAAAAAATCTATCGACATTTTATGACCTCACTGAATTTCTTGTTGTTTGCCACCTGCTGGCACCTCTTAACAGCTAAGGACAGTCACTAAAAAAAACTCCACTCAGACATTGTACTCTGGTGTCACCTTGCCTGAAAAGCCATATCTTATTTTCCTCCTCTGCAGATAACTGGCATGTATTGCAATGTGGGTTGATTTCTCAGACAGGGATTAAGCCTTGGTCTTGATGTGGACTAAAAATAAAGTGCCTCTCTGGGTGGAATCTTCACTGAAAGACACATGGCAACTTGCATGCCAGATATGTGGTCTCAACGAGCACAAAATATTTGTAATGCAGCATCTGCATTGATTTGAAAATTGACCCTGACTGAAAGCAATCATTTAGTCACTTGAGACTTAATCTTGTGGAAGCTGTCCACATTTTTCAACCAAAATAAACTTGGCCTTAAACAGGTTAGATTATAATGAACACGTTTAATCCTGTTTAAAATATTGTTATATAGAAGGATTGTCGCACATTACAGTAATGTGTAGGCCATGCAGGAGTCTATAGTCTACAGTGTGGAGAAAGTGCTGTAACTTTTCATGGGTAATTAATGAGCGGGAGATAGAGGCAGATACATTGTGGTCTGAGCTCCATGTGGTGCAGGGGAGTCGAGCTATGTGCTGTATAGACACAAGTTTCATGGATTATTCATTGCAGGGATATTGAGAGACACAAAGAGGGATGAAGGCAGGAAAGACAGTGAAGAAATATTGAGAATGAGAGAAATGCAAAGTAAGCCTTCTGAGGTTTTGTGTGTACTTGCTCAGAGGAAAAGGAAGGTTCCTCAGTTTCTTCTTTCGGTGTCCCTTCTCCTTTCTCTCCTTGTTTGAATGGTTGGCTCATCTGCAGTAACCTCGCTGTAATTTAATCTCAAAGAGAATACGCCCCAGATCATCTCTCTTACTTCCTGTTGCTCGCTATCTCCCCGCTCTTTTCCCCCCTATCTTCTTGCACTCTTGCTTAACTTTTTGCTTTTGCACTCTGCCTCTCATTTGGTTTCTCGCCTTTCTGTACACCGTGCGCTTCCTTCTATTTTGTCTTGGGTTGCTGAGGCGACATATAGTGTGTGCGTAGGTGTGGGAGGAAGCATGTCGGATGCTTTGGAGGTCGACCCTGCTCTGTTGTGTGCCACCAGCTGCTGCTATAGGCCTTCTGCCGGTGTTGTTTAACAGGCCCCAGCCAGTGACTGAGTTTTACTCTGTGCTCCACCCAAACAGAGGCCCTTGAGTGCCTGGAAAGGTTGGGCTTGCTCACCCTGGAAGTACAGGATGGAAAAAAGGAGAGAGACATGAATTTACACAGTGCATTTACTAAACTTTGGAAATTACTGAATAAACATTCGTCAATTCCCTTCGGTATGAATACTGTAAATTCTTAAAAGATTGTTGCTCGACTGAGAAGAGTTAAACAGTAGTGTTGGTACATATATGCTGTTTGTCACAGCCTACAGTTACGTGGTGTTCCAGGTACTTTTGTTTTTTAGAAAAAAGTAACCCAATGTTTGAAAGAAATACATTAAAGAGGAAGTGGTATTTTGTGACAAATTAGTATACCTACTATATATATATATATGAAGCAGAAGCACATTGGTGACTTTTTCACTGTTTCCTGTAGGAACTTTTTCAGCAGCGGGGGCAGGCCAACACCTGACTGCTGCAAAATGTACATAGCGGAAACCCTGTTTTGTTTTTTGTTTTTTCACTAAAGGCTGTGTGTTCTCACCAAAAGTAATTTGGACCTGTTATGCATCTCTTTAATCTCTTCTCATACCATTCCTTTCCGCAATATTCAAAACATCCGTTTACAACAACAAAGTGCTTAAATGTCCATATATTTATTTGAACCTATGTATTTGCTCCAAAGAGTTAGTGTTGCTTACTGAAGCTAATAAAAAATTTGCATTACAATTGGCCAGTTGAAAGCAATCATTGGGAAGCATCAACACGATGCAAAAACTTAACTGCAAAGAAAACTGAGCTTACGTTCTATAATGTTGCTGTGATTGATGATGGAGATACGTTTAGTTGAGATTAGAAAAATAAGGCATTAATAGTAATGAGCTCAATGCTGGCATCATATTATTGTAGTATGCCAGTTATTGTTCCAGGCATATATGATGTTACTTTTTTGTAGTTTTAACAAAATACTTGGTTTCTGCACAGTAGAAAAGATGTCCCATCCCAGGGAGATATGGTTCTTTGTAATGAGTCAGGCAGCAATGCTGTATCAGATGTAAAATCTTTGCCTGAGCAATAAGGCAAACAAAGTAAACATCTTGTGTTTCGTTTCTAGATCAACGTCCGTGTGACCACCATGGATGCAGAGCTGGAGTTTGCCATCCAACCTAACACCACAGGAAAACAGCTCTTCGACCAGGTGAGCGTGAGTGACGTAACCACAGATGTAGACTGGAGTGGTTACCAAAGCCAAATCTGCTTAAGCAGCCTTTTGAAGTTGGCTTTGGTGCCCTACTTAATTTACCTTAATTGTGTTTTATGTTCAAGAGTGGATTATTACAGACATGTTGGGTGCGGTCACTTGACCCTTTGGCCATAGGCGGACTATATTTTAGTAGTTTCTGACCTGAAAACACTAGTGTTGAAGCACATTTTCACACGATTTTCAGAAATTTCAACTTCAGCTGCCGATGTGGTATGAATCTCGATTTCCTCTTGAGACTATTCAGCAGAAGCACTTGGTGGATGTTCATCTCACTCATCTCCATCTTGCCCCCTGTGAGCTGTGTCATGTTAATTTACTCAAACCATACTATGCTCGTGACATGGGGGAAGTGACCGATGCTGTTTCTCTTGATGTGAAAGTTAGTCCGGCAATGATGGTTGATTCCGTAGTTTCAGATTCTGTGGTTTTGAAGCATTTCTCAGTTGGGTTGCTTGTTGGGTTACTTACCAGTTTCTCATAGGGTTGAGCTGTCAGCACTAATCAGTAGGTTTTCTGTACTGTTTGGTGATACCCCCTCCCTTACAGATCTTATTGAGCATGATATGTAGGGGACACCTCACCTATCATTTCTCGTGGCCCGGTTGAGTAAGGAAGTTTTCGTTGCTGGTTTCCCAGTTGGCAGCCAGAGTAACGTTGTTGTTGATTAGTGGGTTCGGGATCCCCTGATTATGACAACTGAAAGCACCTGGGCCCAGTGTCTTTGAGTGTAGGCTATTCCGCAAGAGGCTACTGTTGAGACCAGGTCAGACCTCCCTGCAGGCCAGCTCCCCGGTTTCCCCTTAAGTTTGGTTTTCTTTGGATTATTGCTTTGTAGTATTTACCTTGTTTTCGCCTACTACAACACCTTCTCACATATATATTCATGCAGCCATCATCCTGTGCAGACACTACTGAAACCACAGACTACATACCTCATATGTTAATTCGAAATAACTATTAATTTGGCTTATTTTTGTTAAATAAACATATGATGTTAACCATTTACCATGGTGTGTCTCCCTTTTGTTGTGGCCTTCTGAGCCGGGTCATAACACCCCCATCATAGTACTTTTAAGAAAAATAATAATAAATAGAGCCTATGTTCCAGTCAGCCCCAAAGGATTTAATGTGCTCCAACACTCGAAACAAGTGTGTTAACCTTGTGGAGCATCTTCACGGACTGGAGTAGTCTAATGTGAAAAGACTGCTGCATGAAAGTGTGTATCAATTGTGACAACAAGGCCCATTCGGTGTCAAGCTGCAAATAGGAGATTTCAAAGACTTTTGTGTCCTTTGAAATCCAACTGGAGGCAAACATTTTTAAACTGATGTAAAATTGTTAGTTGCTGCTAGTGTTATTGGTTATCGTCTCATTTATTGTGATGATCATCTGCTAAAATTATGTACATAGGTGTCGTTGTGGTTGAGTTGTTTAAGAGGCCAGCTGCGTAACCATGACGTTCCTGTTCTCAGGTGGTGAAGACAGTGGGACTGCGGGAAGTCTGGTTCTTTGGCCTACAGTATGTGGATAGTAAAGGCTACATCACCTGGCTCAAACTCAATAAGAAGGTCAGTCTTCCTCTGCTTTAATCTTCTCCTTTGTCATAACAACACACAGCTTTTTCATTGACACGCCTGCTCTTTTACTGTCGTCTTCCCTTTACTGTCTCTCTGCGTCCTTCTCTTTTTCATTCTTTCTCAGGCTCTTTCTGTTTTGCCTACACACTTTATCTGCTTGTCTTTCGTCCAGACATTGTCTGTTGTTGTCTGGGTCTGGAGCCTCAAACCAGTTTGTGTTTATGAGCATGGATATGTGTTCACTGAGGCCCTCCAGCCAATGTAGACCAATGCAGGGCTGTCTGCATGATCTGTGACAGGATTTCTTCTAACTAGCAGTTCTCCAGTGGAAACTACTTTGTATGCATGTTATGTAGAGCCCAGCACAGTAGCACATGTCCTGAAATAATAAAAGATCTGTCCTGACTGACAGTGACCAGATTACAAAAGTGTTATGTGATGAAAATGCTTGTTTATGACAGTCCCTTAAATTATATTAAAGGAATTTATGAATAAGATGATTTTAAATCAACCTCCTTTTTGATCGTTGAATCACAAATCTTTGTGGTGACTTCCTCCTTCCAGGTCACACGATGAGATGTAGCTGTGTTTATTTGCTAATTAATAGATATTGTCTTTATGGTCAAGGTGACCCAGCAGGATGTGAAAAAAGAGAATCCTCTGCAGTTTAAGTTCAGAGCCAAGTTCTTCCCTGAGGATGTCTCAGAGGAACTAATCCAGGAGATCACACAGAGACTCTTCTTCCTGCAGGTAACAAGCCACTTACTAGGCAAGTTTCCACCCAAATGTAGTGAAATGACCACATTTCCAGAAAATCTGCAAAAGAAAATGCAAATGAATGATCCTTTCCATCCTTTACTGAAATGTGAATACTTGGAGATGAGTGCATCGAATAAAACAATTGTTGGTTCCATTGCACTTTGTCGCATCTTGTTTTTAATAATACAAAAACTTTTTCACCTCAGTGAAGCATAAAAATGTGTTTGTGACTTTTCTTGGAGATTCCAGTCAGGAATTTAATTTTTTATGTTTATGGGGAAAACGCAAAGTGACTAAATTAAACAAGTACCATTAGGTAACTCCTTAACTCCCTCCCATTCTGCCAGGTGAAAGAGGCCATCCTGAACGATGAGAACTACTGTCCCCCAGAGACAGCTGTGCTGCTAGCATCCTACTCTGTCCAGGCCAAGTATGGAGACTACAGCAAAGATGTCCACAAGCCTGGCTACCTTACCCATGACAGACTGCTGCCTCAGAGGTACACACACACACAAAAAAGGGCTGCAGCTAACGATGATTTTTAGTATTCAAAGCTTCGATAGATTATTTCAACAATTCATCAATGCTTCGTTTAAGAAGTACTTTTGCTTGGCGGTGGCTGGAGGTGAGTAAAAATGTGCAGCTCCCGACACCCAGTTAACTCATGACTGTGAGGTTACAACTCACAGCCCAAAAAGAACAACAAACTCACGCGTGTACATTTTCAGCTGAGGTCTGCGGCTTACTTTGGCTAGCCTTCAACTCAGCAATCAATCATGATTTCAGTTAAATGCTAAAGTTGCTGTTACGGTTACCTTGTCTGTGGTCCGCTGGCAGAACAACGGCTGCTTTTTGTTCAGGTGCTGTTGCCGAGGCAACATAAGTTTCATTTTACGGTGGACGGACGGTAACATTACAGAGTTGTTGTTGGGTTTTTTTAGCTTGAAATAATCCCACACTTTCTTCTTTGTCCCTCGCTATTTTTTCTCTCTTCCTCCACTTTGCAAACAGCTCCATTATAATCACGTCGTGTTCACAGCATAAACGCAATGTGCGACAGTAATAAATGTCAATGTAAAGTTACATGGATTAAACGAAGCATTGATGCAAAGAATTTGTGTATTTTATTAATCGATTCAGCCCTATCACAACCTATATGGATCTGCTGTGAGCTGATGAAGAGGGATGTATGGGAGGTGTCCCTTGAGTTTCCATACGCAGGCCAGATCTGTTGAAACCTGCAATGTGTCCCCTTCCCTGTTGGAACACTCAATGATTTCCTCTTGAGGAAATAATCTGTGTTGTTCAACATCCCTTCAGGTGAAGTCATGTGTGTTTGTGTGCACAGAGTCTTGGAGCAGCACAAGCTGACCAAGGAGCAGTGGGAGGACAGGATACAGACTTGGCACGAAGAACACAGAGGAATGCTCAGGTATGTCGATGTGTGACAGAAGTTTCCCCACTTGATCTGAGAGTGCTGACCTATACCTTTTGTATTGGAATGTGTGATTTCATTGTATGACTAGGTGGTCATTAGCTTTATAAAATTACTTTTATAAAACTGTTTAACTGATGTTAATGTGGACATTTTCTAATTAAAACCTATAGAATAAAAATATCTTCTAACTCTTTCTGCTTTTCCTCTTCTCTAGAGAGGACTCTATGATGGAATATCTTAAAATTGCCCAGGACTTGGAAATGTATGGCGTCAACTACTTTGAAATCAAAAACAAAAAGGGCACACAGCTGTGGCTAGGCGTGGATGCCCTTGGCCTCAACATCTATGAGCACGAAGACAAGTAAGGGACACACACAGACTTTGATTTGATTTGTTAAGTTTATTTACAAAATAATTGATGCATTCTGGGGGAAAAATAATAGTGAAGACTGTTTTGAGTTAGCATAATATAATAATAATAATCCTTATTTGTAGAGCACTTTTCAAAAACAAGTTACAAAGTGCTTTAACAAGTGTAAAGAATAATACAAAAAAGATAAGAGCATGAAAATTTAATATAAAATTAGTAAAATACAATAAAATAAAAGGGATAAAATTAAGTCAAATAAGATCGGGAAAGGCTCTCCTATAAAAGTATGTTTTAAGAAGGGACTTAAAAGAGTTCACTGACTCAGCCGACCTGATTTCCTCGGGCAGGCTGTTCCAGAGCCTCGGGGCCCTGACAGCAAACGCTCTGTCCCCTTTAGTTTTCAGTCGAGACTCTGGAACAGACAACAGACCTCTGCCCGAGGATCTCAAGGTACGTGCTGGTGTGTATGGGACTAAAAGGTCAGAAATATAACAAGACGAGAGGCCATGAAGAGCTTTAAAAGTGATCAATAGAATTTTAAAGTCAATTCTAAAACATACTGGGAGCCAGTGTAATGAAGCTAAAATAGGAGTAATGTGGTCATATTTCTTTGTTCTGGTTAAAAGCCTGGCAGCTGAGTTCTGGACAGTCTGGAGTCGATCAATAGATTTTTGGGTTAAACAGGTGAAAAGGCTGTTGCAATAATCCAGGCGTGATGAGATGAAGGCGTGTAAAATGGTCTCGGTGTCCTTAAAAGTTAACATAGATCGAATTTTAGCTATATTTCTAAGTTGATAAAAACATGATTGAACAAGCTTTGTGGTGTGCTGCTCGAAATTTAAATTACTATCAAACCAAACACCAAAGGCTGAGGCTGAGAAGCGTTAACCTCAGCGTTCAGATTCAAATACCAGTTTGTGTCATGTTTTGGTATGAATCCTAATCAACATATAGACACATGATTGCGAGAAGGCTGAAGAGCTGTGGCTTGCAGTTGATTACTTAACAGCAGCAGACATGAGGAGGAGGCTTATGACACAACATGTCACAACCAATGTGTGTCAACGCTTGTTGTCACAGTGGCGTCTGTTATACCTGCTGTCACACAACCTCACCACAATTAGAGATCAGAGGTCTATGTCTTATTTATTTGCAAATAACAAGAAACATATTTCAGAAGTTTGCAAAGATTTTGCACAAAGTTGAAATTAATATTATCAGCTCACAACTGGAGGCAACCTTCAGCTGAATTGTTCACACTGTGAAGCACTAGGTTTGTGCGTTACAATCATTTAAGCATTTTGATTGTAGAGCATAATAAGCAAAACATAAGCAATAAGCAAGCTCCGTTCAGCTTGTGTCTTTGCCTGCAGCTTTTTTATACAATGTTTCATCTGAGCATAGCTTTTAATGCTTTTATAGATTTTCAAGGATTTATGTCATCCAATAACCAAATGACAGGGATGATGTGGCTTCTGACTTTGCATGCTCTTTCTGTAATGACCACGGAGCACAAACTATAAACTCTCTAGAACAGTTCAACTTGATTGATCAGACTTGTAAAAAACTGGCTGTTTAGCTTTGACATTGACTTGAGTTATGACAAATATTTTGGTTTTAGGCAGAATCTTTACCTGTCTTCCCAAGCCAGACAGCAGTTTTTAAACCTGAAGTTAGCTGGAGCAGTCACTCTAAATCTGAAACTGTGTATAAGAATATGGATCCATTTGCCACTAAATATTACACCGTTTACTTGGTGTCCACAGAGCTGCTCTTACAGTTACTGTCAGTGAAGCATGATCCAAAAGCTTTTGTAAAGAATTGTGACCAAGATATGTACTGAGTGGGATATTTACAGTAAAAAAACAACTTCTTTTGGTATTCTTATGGAGAATGTAATGGTGACGCGGTTTCAAAACTACCTCAAACTCTTTAGCATTTCTGTATTGCATTTTCTTTGTTTGATATTAACTTATCGCATAAATCAGCCAGGTTAGCTCTACCGTTTTCTCATATTAGCATAGAGGCTCGATGCCAACATGAGATGCACAATGTTCAACAAGTTTAGAGGAAGGAAAGATATTTGTCATGTCAAAAGTGGAGAAAGGAAGACTGTCTGTCCGTTATAGGGAAGTCTTTCCTGTCCTCTGGTCAGAGATGTTTCCCCCTTTTGTGGAATAAAAGGATAGATTTAACCACATCTGCATTAGCGTTTCCTGTCGCTGCTTTTCCCTTCCTGTCCGTTATCTTAAGTCATCACAACTGCCATCCCTCGTCTCTTGTCCAGGTGACAAAGGAAAGGATATAAGGGAGAGTTTGTTTCTCTCCTTAGCCCGTACCATCCTCATTATCACTATGTACTCTGTCTTTTCATTTCTTTCCATTTGCTTCTTCTTGATTAGAGAACACCCACCATCCTTCAAGCTCATGACAGGAAGTCATATTTTGAGTTTAATCCGCCTTCTTATCATTCCTGTCACCATTCTTAACCAAAACAAATAAATTTAAGATTGTAACGTAACCTGAAAGAGTGTTCAGTCTCATGATTTCTTGTAATGTGGTCTGTTTATACAAGGCACCATCTGCTGGCTGAATGTTATAAAACATTCTACAACCAACCTCTATTCTGGATATCCTCATGAGTGGGAAGAGGTGAAATTGGTAACCACTTTTGGCCTTTTCTTGTTTTTTTTCCAGGTTGACCCCAAAGATTGGCTTCCCCTGGAGTGAGATTCGAAATATCTCTTTCAATGACAAGAAGTTTGTCATCAAACCTATTGACAAGAAAGCACCTGTGAGTGTCAAATTCAAGTATAGAAAAGTTAGTGCAGAGAGCATGTCCTGCTTCACATTAATGGATGTATTTTCTGCCCCTCTCTCTTTTTTTAAAAAACATGTAGGACTTTGTGTTTTATGCCCCGCGTCTGCGTATCAACAAGCGGATCTTGGCATTGTGTATGGGTAACCATGAGTTGTACATGAGACGGAGAAAGCCAGACACCATCGAGGTGCAGCAGATGAAGGCTCAGGCCCGGGAGGAGAAGCACCACAAGCAGATGGAGAGGTACTGCAGAGGAACACTCAAATCAAATATTATGTGTTTTGAAATTATTTATATGCCAAAGTTTTGCAGATCATATGAAATGTATAGAATTGTTCATATTTGTTAAGCAGTATACAGTGTATTTATGGTTCAAAAGTAATAAGTGTACGGGGCTAAAATAATTCCACTTAGTCATTTTGGCAAATAGTGTTTAGGGCAACTACCTCCCACTTCACTGACTTTTGACAATACAATAATATATGTCCACTGGAGGGCAGTCTTGTCTCTTTTACATACATTATCTGAAGCAGAAGGAGTGACATGAGTATTTTATTCAAATAAAGGTGCTGCAGCTTTATTCAGGTCAGAATAGGAGCACTTCATTTACTGTGTTTCTCTGTATCATATAGTAAAACGTGTGTTTCTCACTCACAAATACTAAAGAAATCTGAAACATGCAATTGCAAAACTTCTCAGGGCTCAGCTGGAGAATGAGAAGAAAAAGAGAGAGTATGCGGAGAAAGAGAAGGAGAGGATAGAGCGTGAGAAGGAAGAGCTCATGGAGAGGCTGAGGCAGATCGAAGAGCAGACGATGAGAGCTCAGAAAGGTACCAGTTTTTCTTTTTATTCATCTATCTGGTAACTTGTCTTTGCTGCTCCCTCCCTCCCTCTCCCCTCCTTGTGGCTGTCAAATTAGAGAATCTCTCTAGGGCTGGGAGTCAAGGCCAATTTATTCATCACGCTCGTGTAACCAGAATGAATTGACAAGTTGATTGAAGCCATCACTTCCCCTTTCCTCTGGTTGTTTAAATAGTTACTTCATTTCAAACTTTACGTATTTGTAAGCCCTCTGTTCTGATTTAACTGCCTGAAACATTAGTGTCTGACTTGACGTGTGTAGAAATTTAGATAAAAGTAGAACATTTATGTTACATGTTTGCGTGTCTGCCCTTTCACAGAGCTTGAGGAACAGACTCGCCGGGCCATGGAGCTGGAACAGGAGAGAAAGAGAGCGAGAGAGGAGGCCGAGAGGCTGGAGAGAGAGAGGCAAGCAGCTGAGGAGGCCAAGGGCGAGCTGGCCAAACAGGCTGAAGACCAGCAGAAGACCCAGGAGCAACTGGTGTGTGTGTGTTTCTTTTAACTGGTGGAGTGAGCAATTATTGGCTGGCTTATCTGGATATTTATAGGTTTTTGCACACACAATTTTCTTGTGTGTGTTTGATTATTTAAGATGAGTGTTTAAAATAGACTACATTCTTGTGTGTTTTAAATGTAAAGTATTTGTAACAACAGGGTCTTTTTTTTTGTATCCCCAGGCCGCTGAACTGGCTGAGTACACAGCCAAGATCGCTCTCCTGGAAGAAGCCAAGAGGAAGAAGGACGAAGAGGCCACAGAATGGCAGCACAAGGTACAGGACTCCTCCCCCCCCAGTCCTACAGAGGCCAATGTTAGAAATTAGATAAACATTCTAACACTTAGAAATCTTTCAAGCTGCATACCAGGGCAGCCAGTGGAGGCTGGGACAGTATTCAGTTATAACAACAAAAATATTAATAACAACACTAATAATAATAATTAATATAATATGTATTTGTTAGCTCAGTGTCATTCTATTTTGAAGTCTTTCTAAAGAACAAATGGGGTTACTTTTTAGGAATGACATTTTTGGGGCATTTTAAGCCTTAAGTAGAGAGATGACATGAAGCGAGGGAAAGGGATGCAACAAAGGTCCTCGGTCAGACTCAACCCAGGATGTCTGACAACATGGTTGCCATCTTAAACCCTAAGTTACAGGGGCGCCCCAGGATTCTAACTAATTAGAAATCATGAATTATTTCACATATTAAAGTGCTGGTTAGATATAAATTGTATGGGTTTTCACCCACTTCACCCAGGGACTTGAATCTATTCAGAGGATCTGCGCTGCATTTGATCTAAAAAGAATTATTATTTATTACATCATGCTGGCGGAATCAAACTTTAACAGGATTTCTGTTCAGTTTATTTTAAGTGGAAACCTGTAAATACCAGAATGGCTGACACATTTGCTTATATTAAATTCTCACTCAGCTCATTCCATCCTATGGAAATCTTTTCTAATTTAATATGCAGTTTTGCATATAACGGCCAGTTCAGAATGGATACAGGAAAAAAAGTGCCTCTGATCATGGCTCAGTCCGTCTTTCACACACAGCTCTGCATTATGTTTGCAGATTGGGTCTGTAGGAGTCAAGTTACACTTCATATTCGTAACAAGGAATACCCTGTGGGCAGTGAAATTGTAGTCAACAGCAGATGTGTTTACGTTCAGTGCATAACATGGCAGATGTCACAGTGCCCCAGACCATTAGCTGTGTCTTTAAACACTGATGGTCTACCAGTGTAAACACACTCGCCCTCTCCTTGCCCTCACCTGCAGGCTCTGTCAGCCCAGGAAGACCTGGAGAAGACCAAGGAGGAGCTGAAGACGGCAATGACTGTGGTGCCAGCACCTCCAGGCGGCAGCGCTGAGAGCGAGCACGATGAGCAGGATGAGAACCACGCGGAGGCCAGTGCCGAACTCTCCAATGAGGGCGTCAGCCAGCTAGACCTCCGCAGTGAAGAGGCGCGCGTCACTGAGGCCCAGAAGAACGAGAGGGTCAAGAAACAGCTGCAGGTGAGAGCGGAGGGCGTTAAGGGTTGGATAACTGCAGTCAATTTAGGCTGCCAGTGAAGTCTGTCATTTTTCTTTTAAGGACAATATCAAAACTTTTGACATAAAAACGACATTAAAGTTCCTTGACAAAATGATAATAACCCTAGGAAACACTTTTTCCAAGGCCAAATGAACTTTTGAACTCAATATAATGTTCATTTAAATCCCAAAAAAATGTTATTAAAATACCATCAAATAATTGTACCCCTTGTGGAAAGTGACCTGGCGTTAAAATGAGGTCTAAACCTTTCCAGATGAATAAAACCTTTAAAATAAAACCTTTAATATATATCTCTTTAATCTAAACAAAAAATAATTCCATCAGTTTAATTTAACCAAATGAGATTTGCGTCTCAAATAACAACGAGATTATACTATTTTCTAACAGCAGTTTTGTTGCAAAGAAGAAACACCAGCCAGGCAATGGCACATAAGGGTAAGATAAGGCATACGTCTCTGTCCATTCTTCTTTAAACTCCTGCTTTAAACAGGAGTAGATGTGCTGGCTTAGACTGTAGCCTGGCTTTAAAGCAGACCTAGTGATAATTAATCAAACAAACAGATAAAATCAAATCTCTTCATGTCTACCATAACTTCAAATATTACAGGGGCTGTAGATCTAAGCTGGGCTACCGTATAGGCCAGGACTTGTACTGAAGCTATGGCAAGAAGAGTTCAAATATCTACTAAATAGTTTTATTTATATCTTAATTAACAAAAAGATAGAAAACAAAAAGAAGGGGCTGTGTCTCCACTGCACCTGCAAGCCTGCGTTGGACTACCCAAGGGACTGTGCTTGATAGACAGGCCTTGGCCAAACCTACATAACTGCCGACGCCTCCTCCAGGGTGTAAAATAAGTTATTAAATAAGATTTATTTGTTCAGTGAACACTAAATATACAGTACAGGCCAAAAGTTTGGACACAGCTTCTCATTCCATGCGTTTTCTTTATTTTCATGACTTTTTACATTGTAGACTCTCACTGAAGGCATCAAAACTATGAATGAACACATGTGGAATTATATACTTAAAAAAAGTGTGAAATAACTGAAAACATGTCTTATATTCTAGTTTCTTCAAAGTAGCCACCCTTTTGCTCTGATTACTGCTTTGCACACTCTTGGCATTCTCTTGATGAGCTTCAAGAGGTAGTCACCTGAAATGGTTTTCCAACAGTCTTGAAGGAGTTCCCAGAGATGCTTAGCACTTGTTGGCCCTTTTGCCTTCACTCTGCGGTCCAGCTCACCCCAAACCAACTCGATTGGGTTCAGGTCCGGTGACTGTGGAGGCCAGGTCATCTGGCGCAGCACTCCATCACTCTCCTTCTTGGTCAAATAGCCCTTACACAGCCTGGAGGTGTGTTTGGGGTCATTGTCCTGTTGAAAAATAAATGATGGTCCGTCTAAACGCGAACCGGATGGGATGGCATGTCGCTGCAGGATGCTGTGGTAGCCATGCTGGTTCAGTATGCCTTCAATTTTGAATAAATCCCCAACAGCGTCACCAGCAAAGCACCCCCACACCATCACACCTCCTCCTCCATGGTTCACGGTGAGAACCAGGCATGTAGAATCCATCCGTTCACCTTTTCTGCGTCGCACAAAGACACGGCGGCTGGAACCAAAGCTCTCAAATTTGGACTCGTCAGACCACAGCACAGATTTCCACTGGTCTAATGTCCATTCCTTGTGTTTCTTGGCCCAAACAAATCTCTTTTGCTTGTTGCCTCTCCTTAGCAGTGGTTTCCTAGCAGCTACTTGACCATGAAGGCCTGATTTGTGCAGTTTCCTCTTAACAGTTGTTCTAGAGATGTCTAGAGTGTCTGCTGCTAGAACTCTGTGTGGCATTCAGCTGGTCTCTAATCTGAGCTGCTGTTAACCTGCGATTTCTGAGGCTGGTAACTCGGATGAACTTATCCTCAGTAGCAGAGGTGACTCTTGGTCTTCCTTTCCTGGGGCGGTCCTCATTTGAGCCAGTTTCATTGTAGCGCTTGATGGTTTTTGCGACTGCACGTGGGGACACATTCAAAGTTTTCGCAATTTTCCGAACTGACTGACCTTCATTTGTTAAAGTAATGATGGCAACTCGTTTCCCTTTACTTAGCTGGTTGGTTCTTGCCATAATATGATTTCTAACAGTTGTCCAATAGGGCTGTCGGCTGTGTATCAACCTGACTTCTGCACAACACAACTGATGGTCCCAACCCCATTAATAAGGGAAAAAATTCCACTAATTAACCCTGACAAGGCACACCTGTGAAGTGAAAACCATTTCAGGTGACTACCTCATGAAGCTCATTGAGAGAACGCCAAGGGTTTGCAGCGCTATCTAAAAAGCAAAGGGTGGCTACTTTGAGGAATCTAAAATACAAGACATGTTTTCAGTTATTTCACACTTTTTTGTTAAGTACACAATTCCGTATGTGTTCATTCATAGTTTTGATGCCTTCAGTGAGAATCTACAATGTAACTGGTCATGAAAATAAAGAAAACGCATTGAATGAGAGGGTGTGTCCAAACTTTTGGCCTGTACTGTATATTGATACAATTAAGTGTAGCTGTAGTTGCTTCGCATCAATCAGATGTTGACTAAAATGATTGAGGTGTATTTTACCCTTTTTCCTCTTCTGCACCGGTTTCCTTTTTTTCCCCCATTCTTCTCCTGTGCAAGCTCTTTATTGCCCCACTGTTTTTCTTTGCTTCTTCTTTTCGTTTTCTCGTCTTTTTCCTCCCTCTATCTCATCACCCTCTTATCCTTCCTTCTCTTTGTTCTCTCAGACATTAAGTTCAGAGTTGGCCGATGCCAGAGATGAAACCAAGAAGACACAGAACGACGTGCTACACGCAGAAAACGTGAAAGCAGGCCGAGACAAATACAAAACGCTGCGGCAGATCCGACAGGGCAACACAAAGCAGCGCATCGATGAGTTTGAGTCCATGTGAGAACAGCACCTCCGTCCCCTCGCCACTCTGTCCGTCAGGGGGTGCCTGCTCCCAAACTTTCCCCTCAGCAGCTGCTCAATTTTCATGGACAACAGATGCTGCCGTCCTTGTAATCTTACCAAGTCCCCCTCAACACCCTCAGGCAACCTTGAGAAATCATCTTGTCACACTTTGCCAAAGTCCTGCCCCACATTTCCACTCTCCACTATGGATTTCTCCCTCATATGGAGCTGCCTACACGTCACTCTGAAGAAGCAAATATCGTCATACTGCAGAGACCTGTAATCCTTATGCACAGGGCAAAAGAGAAACTATAAAACCAAAAATGGAAGCAATTGGATTTTTTATTTTGAGCAAACGTGGCCATAGAAAGCTACTTTTTGCTGTTGTTTTTTTGTTTTGCTTGATGACTTGTATGCAAAGGTTTAGTATGATTTCATTACTTCAGTTAATGATTACCTTTCCTCTCCTTGTTTTTAAGTCGATCCCCTCTGCTTTTTTTTGACTCGTTTTATTGATGACGCCCTTCTTTTTAATTGTCTGTCGAACACTTTGATGCTAGGTTTAGTCCTAGGCTAAGAATAAAGACTGGAGTTGGGGATAAATGAGTTTTCCATTCAACGTCAAAGCACTGCTGTTACATCATGTCAAAACATATCACAAGCTAGTTATGCTAATATTCTTAGAATCTGTGACTCATTAGAGAGCTGAGGTCATTTCAGTCAATTCAATCAATTCAAAGTGTGTTTTGAATGTAACATTTATATTTACATACAAAATGACGCTGCAGTGTTTTAATAGTTTAATTTCAGGCTGAATATCAAGAATGGCAGTATTTTTCATTTTTCTGTGAATGAAACTGAAGTGAACTGACCCTCGTAGGGAAAAGAGCCACCCAACTTTTCACACGGCAGGTTTTGATGAACGAATGTAGCAAAGTTAACAAAGGGAAAGTGTTTTTTTACATGCAGAGGTGATAGGCTAGCATGTAATGAGCTTGTGCCACTGAGCTATCGGCCTCGTGCTTAAAAGTGTTATGAAGATAAGCTAATTGGTAGGTGTGTGTGCGTGTTTTTTTTTTGTTGCATCTCAGTGTTTAATTCCCAGTCACCATAGATGTTTTTCTCTGCCTACCAGCTCACAAAGGAGCCCAGGGTATTAAATGGACAGACAGAGAAGCAGAGAGATGAGTGCTTTGTCTAGGCTCTTTGTCTGACTGTCCAACCATTAGAGTGTGTGTGTGTGTGTGTGTGTGTGTGTGTGAGGGGAAAAAAAGCATAAACAAAAATGTAGATGTGTGGTAGCTGAGGCCTGGCCCCTCTCTGACTGGGGAGCTTATGAAAACATCAGTCCTGCACCTTGGACAAATCTCTACCTCAGTAATGTAATATTAGCAGTGGTGACTGCCAGTCAAACACTGAGGGTGCCCCCGCCCCTCCAAAACCCCCAAAATAAGGTCAATGTTTTACTTGGTTGCTGTTACATCCTTGTGCAGGCTATGTTTTCTCAGAGCTCAGTGTTAATGCTTTCAAGAGAACATTAAGGGTCTATGTAAAACATACCTCCTCTAGGTTAGCAAGTGTTGTGTGTCTCTCTTTGCTCCTTGCTCAGATGTTTTGGTTCATTCTAATTTTGTCTGGAAATAAAATCCCAAACAATGAAGAAGGTGAAATAAATAAATGCTGCAAATATCAGAATGGAGATACTGTAAAGAGTTCTCTTTTTAAAAAGCTAGTTCATTTTGGCATTACCTAACAGGGTCCTGTGAGGCATTTGGTTCTTAGGAGCCACAAGTTGTTGGTGGTGACAGGCTGGGTCTACAGAGCTGCCTGGACTCATTTTAAAAAGAGGCTCTCATGCATAATAATGAATATGGCCTTCATTGTCTACTCAGAATTTTGTCTGTTGCAATTTCACTTTAAGGAGACGGTGTGCAGACCAGCAGTGGATTAATGGGACTGCAACTTATGAATATTTAAAAAGATGAGTTATTAGTAAGTCTTATGTGAAGGGACCTTGCTATTGTTATTTGTGTAAATCAAAGGCCAATTTTCTTCCCCTGAACTCCTATAAAAAAAATTCCTGTCTTACATTAACATTGCTTAGACAACAAATTGACTCCATCATTTGTGGGGTGGAAAATTTGTTCCAGGGTGCATTTTTTGAAATGAGTGAACGTTAAGTTTTCCTTTTTTATTTTATTAACAATATGATGAAAAATGTTTATTATTTGTTACGCTATACTTGACAGCTGGTGTAGGTTGATATTTTTTTAATAGTCAAGAGTTTTAAAGTTAAAGCTGGGGTAGGCAATTTATTCTGAAGTATTTTTGTTTTTAGTTGAAATTGCATACCGACGGCAATCAATAAATAAAATGCTCTGACACAAATGTAATAAGAATCTGGTATCTGTGGCTACGCGGAACTGTAATAAGCACGGCCAATCATCTAGCTGTCTATTTCTCCAGTGTTGCCTACCCCAGCTTTAAAGAATTTGTATGAAACAAGACACTGAAGCCTGCCTTTTGTGTTTAACTTCAGTGTCCATTGTTATTGTTGTGTTTGCCATAGCAGGTGGGGAAAAAATTATCCTGTGCTTCCAGCTCATATTTTTGTATTGTGTTCAAAGGTCCTAAACCAGCAGCACACATCGCTATGCTGAACAGCTTCATTCGAGGGGAAAATTCTTGTAGACACGTCCACACCCCTAAACCCCCCCACATTCAAGCTGTGAGGCTTCAGTTAGTTTGTCTTCACAGCAGAATGTTATTGGCCTGCCTGTCCCTCCAATGAAGCCAATGTCTGCGATGATGCCTGCTCCGACACCAGCTGTCACTTTGCCGCTTCTTTTTTTTTTTCTCTCCATATGTTCATGTTAGTATTCTTTAAGATAGAAGGCACAGATGGATTGCAGTCCATGTCATTGGTTCACAAATAAAAGTTTTAAATTTTGAGCATGTGTTTTGACCCATTTATATTATTTAATGACAAATTTAATGGCGTTTGAACGTATTGCGGCTCATTTTACATTTTGCTATATGATCGGCTTTAATAAAAAATGTATCTGCATTCTGTAAAAAATACCCCAAAATCAACAATTGATATTGTTATTTTCAGATACTTAGTTTAAAAATGTTGTTGAAGTACCATAAGCGGTGATTAAGTCATCTTGGTTTCACAGACAGTCCAGAACCCCGAAATATCCAGTTCAGTCATACAACACTATGTAAACCAGGAAATATTCACATTTGAGTCTTTTTAGTTAAATGATTCAAAATGACTAACCAGTTAAATGGTTGCAGATTCATTTTCTGTCAATTGACAAATCAACATATTGATTAACTATGCAGCATTATACTTGGCCAGATTTTCCCGCTTTGTGCTTGAAAGTCCCATCAGGCCTGACAGATTGGTTGGGTGCCCCAGTGAACTGTGATCTACTGATTACTAGTTCTTTCCGCAGATTATCATTGGGGTTAAACTCCAGACTTTGCCTTGTCAAAGACTTAACGGTGTTGTCTTGACAGTTCGCTGTCGTATGAGAAGTGAATCTTACCCCCCTGGTCTGAGGTCATGAGCCCTCTGGAGAAGGATCTAGTCTCATTGCTTATGCTTTCAATTAAGACTGGGTCGTCGTTGCTAAGAAGCATCCACATGCCTTTACTTCCATGTTTCAGAGCTGCAGCTAGCAATTATTTTGTCTAGAAAATGTCAACGAAAGGTGAAAAATGGCAATTTAGTCTCTTGAAATGCCTGGTTAAATCCAAAAGACATATCCGAAAAGAAATCCTCTCATTGGAGAATCTGGAACATGGAATCTTTGCTTGAAAGTGAAACAATTAAGTAATTGATTAATTGGCTACTGATTTCAGCTCTAATTTTTATCTGCGGAGGATAAAATCAGATGAAAGCACACGAGTCTAAGAACTCTGAATACACACCACATGGTTCCAATACAAGTTTGATTACAAATTACTGTTAAAGATAGTTCTTATCTTATGAGAGAATTGTTACTTAAAATACTAATATATAACTTTTACAGGAGAACAGCAATTGTAATGCACAGACAAGCTTTCTAAATAATTTTCTTTGTAAATGGAATAACTGGAAATAGTTGACTGAAATTGGGAGCCTTCCATAACTTCTACAATGTCAATTGACAATACATGTTTTATAGCAGTACTCTTTAATGAACAATCACAGTTACAGTTGAAAATGTTACAATAATCAATTAGTTACACTGTTATACTGGCTAAATGTAAATATAATTTGAAACAGAGGGTTTTTATTCTGTAAGAATGTTGTGGCATTGTATTATTTACAGCACAAAAGTCAGTTTATCATGATGGTTTCCATTATCATCATCTATGACTGAGGGCACTTCCAAAGCAAACAATGTTGAAGGAAAGTGGGATGCATTCCAAAACAAGCTTCCTAATCCTTTGGAGTAAATGTCAAACTTAATAGAAAACAAGATAGCATTGCCACTTGACTTTATATTGTATGTCAAGAGATTTATGAAATAAAACATTAATGAGCAGAAAAACAAGCCAGGTTGTGTATAAGTAAGCCTAGAGGCATCTCAACAGCTAGCATCATGTCACAGTAACGGCAAGACAAACTTCTAGGAAACAAACACATCTATGTACACAAATGAAAGACAAGGAAACATGCAGAAACCAAAACAAATCAAAACATGCATAACAGTTAGCTGAACATAGTTCAGAGTATTGGATGTGTCATAAGCACAATGCCATGAAGAGGCATTACTTTGGGCCCACGCTCAGGTGCTACACTGACACACAGTGCCAGGAGGCCAGAGAGAAGGCGCTTCTTCAATACACACAAAGGTTCTCGCTCACGTGTTATTGTACAATTATTCACTATTTGTACAATGTGACACGTTGGACAGGAAAGAAACCAGTGGGCTTTACGTAGCTGGCTTGTGATGAACTGTATGACGAGCTCACTCTGCAGACTTTAATTCCTTGGTGGCCATTTTGAACTTGCGTTACGCTTTGGTAGGACTCAACCTGATCCGGTACAACCAAGCTATGTCCTGCTGCTAACCAGTTAGAAAGAGACAACAGGAATTATTAATTATTTACACAAAATAGTCTCAAGAACCCAGATCAATAAACAGTCAGCTATCATCCTATTCTGGCCACAGGGCTAGGTTTAATACAGCAATCTAGCATAGTCATAGATAGGCTAATGCTGCGGAATATTTAACATCCTAATAAAAGTGCAACGTATGTCTGAATTCATTTTGGAGTATCCCAGGATACGACAGGCCATAGGCAGGTTATATCCTGAACAGGTCAGGTGTGAAATACAACAAAATGTTGTAAAACAAAATTGCTTAGTAAGTGCTCAGGTAGCCTCAGGAGTAATAATTCTCCTGTTTGTGAAGACATTTTCTTCATTTATAAGCAATTTATTTCAACATACCCCTATGTAATGCACTGTGGCCATAGACATTTAAATATGTCTTAAAATATCAAACACATTTGTTTGAAAAGGGCTAGTAGGTTAGCTAGCTAAACTTCCTGCTAAGCAGTTGTTCTCGAGATGTCTTTACTGACTGGATAACTCATGGTTCTATGAAGACCTCATCTTTTTGTTGAAGCAAAAATGATACGTTTGCAGATACTCCAAGAAGAGCTTTGGTAGAGACATTCAAAATGGCCGCCCTGGGATATTAGACTGACCCAAATACAAAACTTTACCTATTAAACATGGTTGGGGTCTTACAACTCAATTTATGATTTAATTGAAACAGAGTAATTACTGATAAAACATCAATTCTCTATTATTTCAAGCATAACGTTGTGTAATGTTAGCTTAAGGAAATCCACCTCCTGACTTAATAAAAAAGCTAAAAGAAAGCTTAAAATTAACTGACCCCAACCTGACCATGAAAAAACAGACTTAATTCACTTCTGTTTTCAAACCAGTAAACCAAAGCATATTTCTTACACATGATTTAATTGGAGCTCCTGTAAAAAATAAGCCAGCTTCAAACCCAAAAGCGCAGATAAGGAAGTTGTGATGCCTAAACATAGTAGGCAGACGACTCCTTTTGTTTCCTAACATGTGAAATAATTGTCTCAAAGCAATTTCCACAAGATTAAAAGTTGGAACATCTCGATTGGAACATAACTGTTGTCAATGCACTTCATCATATAGCAATACATCAAGAGTGTTTGATAAATACAGATCAACAAGTCCATGTACTGTATATAACATCAGCGACTTAGTTAATGATACAATTTGTATCAAACAAGGTTTTTCTCCGTCTAGCATGGATTCAGCTGGGATCTGCTACAGACAACAGTAGACTCTGTTAGCCAGTAGAACAGCAGGGAAATCTGTTAAATATATTTACAATACATACATGTTTGATTTACTGATGTCCAGATGTTCTGTCTGTAGCAGATACCAGAGTTGACCCAAATCAAAGGGTCCAGAGAGAGAGAGAGAGATAGAAAGAGAGAGAGAGAGATGTCCCTTACTAAAACTAAGGTACACACGACAGGGTCACCCATCTCTACAGCTACAACTCTGACCAAAATACCGATGTCATCTCAAATAAGACGACTATCTTTCGGACACCATCTCTTATCAACATGGAACCCCCCCCCCACACACACACAAATGGCCGCACAACACACACAAGGAGATTAAGATAATAGACAGACCTCATTCAAATAGTAGTTTGAAACGGTCATGTGATAACGGTGTACCAGACGGGGATTTGCCACATAAAAATGAAGAAAATGGCATGGAAAGATCAGGAATTAAGACTGAATACTTAACTGTGACACTTTCTTTATAGTTATGAAGTAGAAAATCCTATCCATCTGGTGCTTTAAACATGCAAGAAAGGAAATTCTCAGGTCTGACAGTAAGTACAGTGTACAATGCACACTGTGTGTGTGTGTGTGTGTGTGTGTGTGTGTGTGTGTGTGTGTGTGTGTGTGTGTGTGTGTGTGTGTGTGTGTGTGTGTGTGTGTGTGTGTGTGTGTGTGTGTGTGTGTGTGTGTGTGTTCCATACAAATCAGAATCTGGCCATAAAGGTGGTGGAAATTATTAAATAATCCTTCATGTCAAGGTATTTATGTATGCAATACTGACTCACTAGGTTATGATTTGGTTGTAAAACCACAAAAAGTGCCTCTTGAGAATTTTATGCATAACAAGTCCTGCATGTGAAAGATGCATATAATCACCTACTAAATAAATAAAAGAGAATAACTGGGCAATCTAGACCAATATCCACAAGTTGCACTTTGTGTCAGACATAGATTTTGTCAAATGACTCGCTCTCTCCACACTTCTTAAAGTTGAGTTGATTTAGTTGCCGCTGCACAGTGACCAGAGCTGGATTATCTTCAGCATTTTATTTCCTTGAAACTTATGCATTGTCTTAATGTTAAAAGGCTTTCTTTGCAGACAATCCAAAAGCATTCCAGTATTTAAAATTCCACTTTCAAATGTTGCAAAGGCAAATTCCAGTTTGCTCTGCTGATGACAGACAACATAACTGCTGTTTTCTTATGGGAGATACATTTTCTTTCTTTCTTTCTTTCCTTCTTCCTTCCTTCAGTAGCCTGTTTGGGCTTTCTCTGCAAGGATGGCGGCTGCCAGCTGCTGGGGGTCTGTGACGTGGGGGCTCCTGGCCATCACCCGACTCACCAGCTCCGAGGGGAAGATGTTACACAGGTTCATGTAGACTTTCTCCCTCACGTCCCCGTACCGGCTGTGTGCAGGGGATTCCGGGTGCTGCGACATGTAAGAGGGAGGAGCGTGGGAGGGCACTGTAAGGTGAGCGCAGTGAGGCTGGTAGGGCGGGTGAGGAGAGCGGGCTGGAGGCGGTGGGTGGTTTAAGTAATGTGTTGGGGATGGGTGGAGAGCTGGATGCGAGGAGTGGTGCTGGGCGTAGCCGTCCTGAGCCCACGGATGCCAAGATGACTGGCGAGTGTCTGGCAGGCTTTGATAGGCGGACGGCTCATACCTGGAGGGCGGCAATGGAGCTTGTCTGTAGTACGTGTCCCAGCTGGGCAAAGCTTTTGTACGGTGGTGATGGCGCGATGTGGAGAGGTGTTCATACAAATGTGAGTCTGACACACTCTCTGCTCGTGTGGGGGCCAGGCAGCTGCCAAGAGGAGAGCCTGGAGGGTGAGGGTTGGACTGAGGCAGAGAGTGGTAGTCGCCTGGGCAGCTAGAGCGTGCAGCTAGCGGCTGATGCTGGAGATGAGGGGGCAAGGGGTAGAGAGGGCGCTTTGGTGGAGCCTCTGGCGGAGGCTGATCGTGAGCACAGCTCTGCCCACGTGCCACAATCAGGTGGTAGTTGTGTGCTCCCGTATTAGACGTGTGGCTGTGTTGGATATTTCCATAATCTGCAGAATGAAGGCTACAAAGTTCATGGTTTGAAGCGGCATGATGGGGATACAGCCGGCTGTGGGGATTAGCAAAATGGACGGTGTCTTCCAGTAAGGTGTCTGGGTGGCATCCAGGACACAGCCTCTCACTGTAGGAGTCACAGCTGCTGCTGCAACTCACGCTGCTTTCACTGCTGCATTCGGAGCCTGCTGAGCCCATTGAGCCTATCCGCAGGTCTGTGTCATTGGGGAAGCGGCAGTCTGGGCTCCGCCTGGAGGAAAGGCTCAGGCCAGAGTAGGCACGTGTTACTGAGTAATAGCTCAAGTCTGGAGACTCACAGTGCGGGTAAAGGTCGTGGCTGGGGGCAGGTAGACTGTGAGGAGTCGCTGCTCTCGGCTGTTGCTCCTGAGGAAAGCTAAGACCGGATGGAGGGCCGCCTCCTGGGGCTGGGGACATGGTGATGCTCCCACTGCAACTACCACTACTGCTGCCGCCACACATACTGTTCTTCTGGCTTTCCACCCTCCCTTTTGCCAGCAGCTTCTCCTCAGCATCGCTGTACGACAAAGCTCGGATGCTAGGGTCTGACTGCCTTTTCTGGGCGCCTTTCTTTGCCTCGATGCTGCCAGCTGGCACACTGTGGCTCTTCACCAGCCCGGTGTCCCCCTGGTTTTTTGTGGTGACACAGGTCTTGGCACTAGCACGCAGCTCATCAGCAACAGCACGCTGAGGCTGAGCACCTCTTTCTGGGTGGTAGTACTTACACTTGTGGCCGTAAGTGCACTTCTTTCCTGGAGCAAAGAGACAGATTACAAAGTAAATATACAGACGCTCTCAACAAACACTGCAACTTAAGTCAATATGTAACCTGCACAATCATTTCAACATTTTGAAGACACACCGTCTCCACTACACAACATCCTTAATGTTATTGGTCAGATTTTGTGCATAGCTGTGTTCTCACCATATGGGCAAGGCTGTTTCTTCTGCTCAGGCATGACAGGTCTTTTTCTCAGGAAGTTGTCTAAGCTGGGGCCATGACGACCAAGAGGGTCATCTGGGGGCATGAATCTGAGAGACAGGAAGGGAGGATTAGAAAGACAAGGTAGTTACTATAAGATTAAGGACAATGGTGTTTTTAAAAGTTGGTGAATATTAAGTTACATCTCCTTTCCTGTGTAAATTGATTGGGGGAACAGGTAAAGTGGAGATAGACGGAAGTAAATTAGCTGTAATTCTCCTTTTAAAACCAAGTGAAAATATCAGTTGCCATGGCATTTGTTAAACCAAATGTCAGATGTGTAACCAACAATTTTGGGTTCAAAATTAGAGACGTAAATTTTAAGATTCTTTTGATTCCAAGGCATCATAGTCATTTATATTGACAAAATCTTTCCCACTCCTACTTACTTGTCATTGACAAAGGAGTACATGAGCAGCCGCTCATCGATGAACTTCTTCCACTCTGGTTTCTCATTAGCCAGGTCTCTGTAGTTATCATTGGAGACAATGATGCCGTCTGACTCATAGGCCAGTTTGACAATGAAGCGGTCGTCATAGCAAACCACTCGCCGGCCTTGGACACGCCGCGACGGAGTGAAGACCAGGATCTTTTCCTTCTCTAGGCGACGCAAGATCTCCTGATCTGTACAGGAGGGGAGATATAGTAAGGCTGAGAAAATGCTGTGCCAGAATAATCTCACAACTTTATCGACTGCATATGTGACAGTGTCGCGCACTGACCTGTTATAGGGGCATCAGGGCGGGACTGCTCTTTCCTCCACGCAGGCACAAACACTGTGATGTCATGATGGCCTCGCTCCAGGAACCAGTCTACAGCCAGCTGGATGCCCTGGCAGGAAAACACTTCCTTGTTGCCATGGCTACAGGACCCAGTTGAGTGGCAAAAGGTAATGGCAAATTAACATTTGGGGTGTTAATATAATATAAAGTCATTTTCTACATTATACAAGATGGTACATGAGGCATGTTGTAACAGTCTGCTGTGTGGAATCAATAAAGAGCATTTTATAGTGACTAAACTACATGTCTTTATTAAAACTGTTACCACACAGACTCCTCACCTCATGGCTACATTACTGCCATCCACCACAACTGGCCGCAGGTTGTCCTGGTCACACAGAGAGTCTGAAGGACAGGGTGAGTCCGACCTCTGGCCATCCAGTAAATCAGAACAGCCACAAGAGGAAGAGGAGGATGAAGTAGATGAGGTAGAGGCTAATGATCCAGCCGGCGCCTCGCTGTCTGACTTGGTGCCCAGTTTAACCAGCTCTCCCAGTATGTCATTGATGAGGGTGTCGGGGCCAAGCTTAGACAGCACCAGTCGCACAGTCTCCTCAGAGTAGCCCAGCTTCAAGGCAAACTCCAGCTTAGCCTGGTATTCCTTCCCGCCAGCCTCGGATGCTGGGTCCGATGTGGAGGAATTGGGTGGAGGCTCGGGTGGGTACTTACATGGGGAGCTGGGTGAGGACCGGGCAAGATTGTCGTGTTCAAACTCTGATGGGACTTCAGATGGCGGCTCAGGAGGACCTTCAGTGCCCAAGTCCACACACTGGGTCCGACAAAGCGGCTGGTGGGTGTTCTTACTGTGAGTTAACCCTCCCTCTCCTTCATCCGGGTCGGGGCCAGCAGCGAGAGTGGCGCTGGAAGACAGTGCCGGCTCACACTCTGCATCAGACCCGGTATTTTCCTCCGCCACGGCCGGTGGAGGGGAATTGGCAGTGCTGCTGTTACCGGAGCTCTCCCCCTGCTCCTCCATAGCAGAGGCCCCGTCAGCGCCGCCAGCCTGCCGGTCAGCCCCTGCTACGTGGAGATACTCCAAATCCAGCCCCAAATCCAGGATGTGGCCTGCTCCTTCCTCCACATGGTCCTTGTGGCCCATGGATCTGTCACAGACATCCAGCACACAGGGCCGCCTGCTGCCCTCTCACAAAGCTCGACTCATTGGTGCCTAAAGGAACAGACAGAAAGGAGGATGACGTTCGTGTGAGATACATGGAAATTAGGTACTGACTGACATACTGTATCACTTTAAATACTTGGTCTACAATATACTGGGCCCTAAAACCAGTAGTAGTTACAGTAAAGTAAATACAACTTGAATATTTGACATTTTCTTTTGTAATGATCAGCCCTGGTAATCAAATGAAAACGTTGAGAAGGCTGTATTGTTACATGAGAATTTAGAGTCAACACTGACTCTAAATTCTGAAATTTGAGGAAAATCTGACTTTTTCCATCTTTATTTTCTTAGAAACATTTTTGCCTAAGCCATCCTAACAGTGTAAGCCTCTGAGCCGATGTTGTTTACACTGGCGCGGGCAGTTGGGGACTCCACCGAGGCACAGACTGGCTGACACAAAGAGCCGATGGGGCCTCTCACCCTAATTAATGGACTCCCGCGTTTTTTTCCCCCTTTTTTTTAGTCTGGCCCCAGTGTATTTTAAAGGGCCACGCCACAGCACATTAATCTAAGGGGGGAGCAGAGGGTGAACCGTTTAAGCAAGCCGGTAGCGATGGGGCCGCTAGACCCTTCCTCCTCATATTCTACCTGGTAATTAAGGCCCATATGCTTCTTCCCACTGGGTTGGTGGAATCGCTCATTAAAACAATGAGGGGCCTCTAGGCTACCGAGCCAATCAACGTATTGCGTTCAAGCACGAAGGACATGGGATCTGGTTAGGCTAATCTGATTGGTGTCAAAGGTTTAGCTGCACACAAATTATAGGGAGCGCTTTGGAAAGTTAAGATGAAATCATGAAACTGATATGTTAATCTTTAGAAAAAAATGAATTAGGCTACAGGACTGGTGGTGTATTCTGACTGGACCGCGTTAAATTCCTTACTGGCATCTTTGAATGTTTCAGTATGTATGGTATTTCCTTCACACAAACAGTTGTTTCTTTGTTTGGTTTAGGAAACCCTCCAAAAGGAAACAATAGTATCAATTTCTACACGTGTAATTTCACAGTTAGACTTTTCCAAAGGCACATGCACAACCAAAAAACCTGGTTAGACTTCAGTATCTTCCAACCCAAGAAACAACTCAAACCCACGTTATCTGGACGAAACAGACGATGGAAGGGGAAGTGACTTAAAGATGGTGGGCGGGAGGTGGGAGACGATGGAGGGGGGGGGGAGGTGAGTGTGCATTTTATGAAAAAGGGCTGCCTAGCAACGCAGCTGAGCTACTGTTGCTAAGCTACAGCTGTTGAAAGCATTCACCCTTAAAATGCCAAGACAGAGGCTGTGGCGTTCAGTCGGCGACCCGCCTTCCACATCCATTACAAAAAAGTGTCTGGTGTGGGGGATGGAAGGGGAGGGGGCTTAAGTGTGCCTCACTGGCAACCCACCCTGCCACCCAAGACAACAACAGACCTACAGGAGTGATTAGAACTGGGACACTGGGATTAATCAATGTGGGCGTTGCATGCACAAACAGACACAACGTCTACCTCACAAAGTGACTCATACTGCTGTGCAGAGAGTGGGGCTATTGGGAACATTTCATGCGCACTCCTCTCTGTTGATGGTCTAAAGTGACACATCCAAACTGTCTTTCCATTCAAGTTTCTCTTAAGGCCAGACATCATCAAGCCTCAGCGCAGGTGCGCCTTATAGAGGGGAAAGTTAATATCAAAATTATATTATACACTATATAAACCATTATCATTGAGTATTTATATTTCAAATATAATAATAAAATCAATGATCTCTTTGTTTATGACAATAAAAGTTTCCCATTGACCAAAAAGTAAACATCCACATTGACCGACCACCCCCCTGTATCTGCATGAAATGGTTTGGTCTTGCCTAAGTGCACTGATCAGTGAAGGTGTTTAGTTACAGCCAGGAGATGCGCCAGAAATATAGTGATCACAATGTTGCCTAGTAAACCAAAATCTGGTTTTCGAAAAAGGAAAAAGACAGAGGAAAGAATGTCAATCTGTAACCCAGTATTTCACCAAGAAAGGTGGGCAGCCTTTAGTCTGTGAGTGGTATTAACCTGTTGGCTTAATGTCCACAGTGAAATAAGCTAGCTAGCTACAGACTAGTGTTAGCCTACATTTCATCAACATTTAATCAGTGCAGGGAAACGTTTAGCAAGATATTCATATTAAATCATTGTCCCCGCCCCTTTTAGCAGACTAACAACAGAGGAGTCAGCAGCACCCCTGTCTCCACATAACTGTAGCCTCCCTGTCCCAGTGAAGAAAGTGAGCAACATGGTGATAATGACATGCCAGTTAGCATCATTCCAGGGACTCTGAGGGGATTTTCTCCATAACGAGAAAGAAAATAAGATATTTATTAATGACAGAAAACACAAATTATTTTCTCACATAATGATCATTATGAAATAAAAACAACCTCCTGTCTGGACTGTACTTTGTGAACTGCATACTGTATGCAGACTCACCAGCAGTAAATATTGTGCAAGTACTAGTACTGAACTACAAGAAGCAAGACAGTTGCAAGCTTTTAATTAGGAGTTATGTAAAGCTTTTGATGGGACAGTTAGGTCTTAGAGATGTGGTGACAACAGCTGCGCAGAGGGCGCCCAGTTAGATTTTTTTTGTCATGGGGCCTAAAATTTCTGCTGGCGCTGGTGCCTCAGCGTGAGCAGAACATCACCGCTGTGTCGACATAACGTTACACTAAGGACGCAAACAGAAGTAGATCATCACTCATATCTAACTACACAGAAAGTCTTCTGATCACATTTGTGTAAAAAGCTAATTACAATAAATCCCTAGAATTAACTTGTACCTTGGATCAGCAGTAGGGCCGGGTATCAAACTAGGTCTGCTGACACTTATCTAAGTCAGTTATTAAATGGTAAATGGTCTGTACTTGGAAAGTATAGGCCCTTTCCAGTCTTCCAGCTACTCAAAGTGCTTTTATGCGACATCACATATTGGACAAGATGTGACAGATTCTTATTAAATAAATACAGTTTCTTCATTAGTGTCATTATAAAAGGTCAGTGTTTCCACTGTTAGCTACAGTCAATAACAGCGCGATGATCGAAAACAGTTTTAAATGCTATAGTAATCTGGTGTCATTATTTAACATAAAAATGACTCAAATGAGTTCCAGAAACTGGACCGGCCAAGATTTTAAATCAAGGACAAGGAGAGCACTATTATTGGATTGGTATTAGAAGAACAAATTGCATCAGAGCAATCCTATTATAAAACAATACTTTTGTAACCAACCGAAATGTGTCAATAGCACCAAGTACCAAAAACTGTCAAGTTTTGTCAAACTAGTATCCCCATATCTGGTCAGATTTCTAATTTTGTGTACTATCTGATCAAATAGCCCCTCATTTAATTTGGCCAACTTTGCACTATTTTATTGAAGCAATTTTCTTGTCCAGCTGCTTGTGTTAAGCCAACATTCAACATTTGAGAAGTCTGGCTTTGTGACATGGAAGGTTTTTTACAAATATAGAGAAAATGTGTTCCTCACAAATGGTAACAAAAAAAGTATTGTATTGTGACCCGTAAAACTCAAATATCTTATCAGCACTAGAACCGAAAATTTTAAATGACACCCTGGCCACTAGTACAACTACTACATGTACAATGGGACACAGATCCAACAATGCAGAATAGTGCAGTGGAAATGGATTCTTCAGGGTTTCACCCAGGAAGTAGTAAGCCACACATCTCATCTAGGCTTAAGCTGGCTGCTTAACAGCAGAAATGTGAACAGTGTGCTTGTCACTATTAAAGCCTGTTCAATGTGTGAACTGATTAAATGTGAGTCTTGCAAAGTGCAGTTAGGATTTGAAAAAAATCTTCTAGTGTGGTCCACGTGCCACAGAATAATGCATTCAGTGCATTTTGAAATACCCAAATCAGGCCTAGTCTTAACGGACCAACAGCAGAGAGACCTCATCACACCATCTCCAGACCTCCAGGCTGAGTGGGTGCATCTTTCAAACACCAGCGAGCCAGCTCCCACACACAGCAGCCCTGCTGGCTTTGATGGAGGCAGTAATGAATATGTAACACGGTCTTTACAGCGCTTTGTATGTGGGAGCTTTGTGTAAAAAGTGTGTGTGTGTGTGTACAGTGGGTGAGAGAGGGGGTAAAGGGTTTTGGGTTTGGGAGGTGGGGGCACAGGGAGGACTAGAGGGGGTTGTCTGGTATATAGCTGCATGCCCGACACTGTTCAAAAGTTATTGTAAAAAAAAAAAACCTAAAAAAAAAATCGGCGGGCGTCCCGGGCATAATGATCAGCCAAGGGAATACTGTGTGTGTGGGTACTGGTGCATCTAGCTGGCGCGCAAGGCTTTCCCTGTCTGCAGCAGGGCAACAGATGTCTGCTGAGCGCTACTTGCAACTGGTGTCTCCCCTTCTCTCTCTCTCTCACACACACACACACACACACACACACACACACACTCTGAGGACACACAGTCAGATGTAAAAGTTGCGCACACACACACTTTCCAGGCAAACGTCTTTAGCAACCTCGTGCAGGTAACACTGTTGTGCCCTTTGCATCATCTCTATGGCCAGGGGTGGTAAAAACACGACTTTATGACACTTACCAGACCTTAAAAGATCAACAAACAATGCAGAAAGGGGAGTAGATTAGCTCATATCCACAGACTTAGATCCTTGAAAACCCGATTGCAAAATACTGAAGTGAAAGTGAAAAAAAAACTAGTCCTAAAGCTCCCACAGCAGCTACTTCCAAGGCCAATGTTTGTCTTTGCTGCAGGTACAGCAGAGCATCCAACTCCAGCCAAACACCGCTGTCCTCAGTGTCTGAGTGCCTTCCAGAGCTGTATTTTTTTTCCCCCCCAACAGAAGCAGGCAAGTTGGACAATGAGTGGCAGAACAGATGGACCAACAATGTCTGCCATTCCCTCGTTTAGAGTGGCTGCTTTTCCACCAATCAGAGCGGCGCAGCCGTACAATGAGGAGCACAGACAAGGGGAGGAGGAGGGGAGTGGCTGTGGGCGAATGCCTGCAACACCCAGGTTCCCCAAGGCACGCGTAGTCAACGTGCACGAGCACACACGCACGCACACACACACACACACACACTCTTCTCTCCGCAGTCTGAAAGGGTTTCCCCTGTGTGGCCGATGAATCAACTGGCTGAACAATAGAGCTACACAATGGGAGGCTGGGGAGGGCAGCTGCAGTGTGAGGGCTGGTGCTATTACGACCCGGGGCAGCAATGGAGAACACCTGGCTACAGAGCACCACAGTCACTCTCCAGTCTTTGTCCCTGGCTGGGGGTAGTGATGGTGGTGGAGGGGGTTCAAAACAGAAAGAAAAGGCCGTGGCTGGCTGAAAGACTAGCGTGGCCTTTAAGAGAGTGCAAGAGGAAAGAGGAGAGTATGGCTGGGCTGAAAGGAAAAAAGGACAAGTGTGGGGGGTGAGGGACATCAAAAAGTTTTATGTCCCAGTGAGTATGAGGAGGGGAATTGTTCCTCATTGTTGCGGCACACTTGGGGCAGATGACTCGGAAGCACAAATCTTTGCCTTTCTGTCTTTTATGTGATTGTGAAGCCTGTGTTCACATACAACAGATTTTGAATGACTTTGAACGTTCATATTAATGTTATCCAAAGTAATATAAAAATATATCCACCAGTGTCATTGATGTAAATACATATTGAAAAGACAAGTTCCAAACTGCGTCACGGTACACATGCTAACTTTTAACACTTTGGTGCAGTATTTTAATATACCAGACTACTGGAATATGTACACAATATGTATGTGGCTGTGTGGCACTCTGGAAACGTGGAGGCTGCATTGATATGGTTGAAAAGGGAAGTGCAACAAGTGGGATGCAGCAGACACTCAACAATTGTACTAGACAGAGTTAGTTACATAAGAGAAACTGCTCTGTTCAAAAACACAGTTTAACAGGGCAAATAAAATGCACCAAGCAAGCCAAAGAAGAACATGTAGTAGCTTTGCGTCACACTAAATATTTGTCGTCTCCATATCCCAAAGCTTTTTCTTTATTAAAATAAAGTTCTAATTTTATCATCAGGTACACACACACACACACACACAGTTCAACCACCAATTAATGCGTCCTTATCTCAGTTTAAATCTTCACAAGATATATCATCAAAAAACTCCACATTATGGACCCCAGCAAGCAAACAAAAGAAATACTCAGTGTGTGGTTCAATACAAAAGTTGGCCAACGAAAATAAAACCAAGTGACGCCTCTCGCATCTAGAAGACAAGCTAAGTAATTCTCCGACAACACCGGAGCCCCTCCACCGTAGCAGACTGGGCCTCTTTTGGGCTGGTGTGTTTGGTTTCGATTAGAAACTCTCGTTTTATCATATCGCGATATTGTCGCAAATGCAATTACTTGTTCCACCCTACTCACATACTCACTGCTGAACATACTGAGCTTCACCTCCAAATCCACAGTTTATGAAAAGGTAGCAGGGATATCCATAAAGGTTAAGTCTTTGTGCATATCATACTATAATGCTCATTCATGTTGTCATTGTTCCTGGTGCAAAGCAGATCCTTCAGGTTTCAGGGCTGTCGCTGGGCAATACGGACATTCAGCTCCCTCCAAAGATTTTCTATTGGGTTCAGGTGTGGAGACTGGCTAGGCCACTCCAGGACCTTGAGATGCTTCTTATGGAGCCACTCCTTAGTTGCCCTGGCTGTGTGTTTCGGGTCGTTGTCATGCTGGAAGACCAAGCCACGACCCATCTTCAATGCTCTTACTGAGGGAAGGAGGTTGTTGGCCAAGATCTCGCGATACATGGCCCCATTCATCCTCCCTTTAATACGGTGCAGTCGTCCTGTCCCCTTTGCAGAAAAGCATCCCCAAAGAACGATGTTTCCACCTCCATGCTTCACAGTTGGGATGGTGTTCTTGAGGTTGTACTCATCCTTCTTCTTCCTCCAAACACGGCGAGTGTAGGTTAGACTATAAAGCTCTATTTTTGTCTCATCAGACAACATGACCTTCTCCCTTTCCTCCTCTGGATCATCCAAACTTCAGACGGGGCTGGACGTGCGCTGGCTTGAGCAGGGGGACCTTGCATGTGCTGCAGGATTCTAATCCATGACGGCGTAGTGTGTTACTAATGGTTTTCTTTGAGACTGTGGTCCCAGCTCTCTTCAGGTCATTGACCAGGTTCTGCTGTGTAGTTCTGGGATGATCCCTCACCTTCCTCATGATCACTGATGCCCCACGAGGTGAGATCTTGCATGGAGCCCCAGACCGAGGGAGACTGACCGTCATCTTGAACTTCTTCCATTTTCTAATAATTGTGCTAACAGTTGTTGCCTTCTCACCAAGCTGCTTGCCTATTGTCCTGTAGCCCATCCCAGCCTTGTGCAGGTCTACAATTTTATCCCTGATGTCCTTAGGCCCCGTGTCCACCAAAGCGTTTTTTTCTGACGCCAGCGTCTTTTTTCAATTCATTCCAATGGGAGCGCGGCGTTTTTCCAAGCTGGTACATAAAATATATACTTTGAATCATTTATCACCATTGATGAAGCCCACAGTGAATATTACAGCGTTATAGCATTATTTGGAGGAGCATGCAATTCTCGGCAGGCAGGCAAAACTCGGCACAAAACCGGTCGCTGAGAGTTGAAAAATGTTCAACTTTGGGAAAAAGCGCTGCGCTCGTCACTATCACTTTTTACCCAGCCGTAAAACAACACGTTACTGGCCTTTAAATTACTTTGTTTTGATATCTGCATTATGTCAGCCATTGGCCACCTATATCTAAATATCGGCATCAGCCATTGAAAATCCCATATCAGTCGACCACTATTGCAGAGGTCTGAATAGTTACAGTATGATCAAGCTTTTTAGCATCAGAGGGGAACATGTCTACCAACAGAAATATTAATTTAGAGAGATAACACTAAATATCCAGCAGAATTTATCTTGCCAGCAACCATAACCAACAAACAGCAGCCCATGGCGTCACTGTTTCAGCGTGGGTTCTCAGTCGACTTCCCAACTAAAATAAGTGTTTTTTCAGCTTGGTGGCTCAACAAGAAGACAACTGCCTGGTCAAATAAGAAATGTGCACAGCCTGCCAAGTCAGATAAGGGTGATGAGGGGAAATACAACAGCTGACCAACTGCACACAGGCAGAGGAGCACTCTGTTGACCATCTGTCGTAATAAAACAGGTGTGTGCTGCTGCTCCTAACAACTGCGGCAGCAAAAGGATGATCCCTTTCCACTTTGGAGACAGATAACACTGAATGCACACAAAACGAAGTAAGCTGCAGGGTTCAAAAATGGCAGAAAAGCAAATATAAGAGGAGGAACAGCAGAGCCACACAGAGGCTGTACTTGTTGAGGATTTCCAGAAAACAGGGAATTAATTCTTTGCAGGGCTGCAGCCAACTAAGAATTATTTTGTTTTATTCATCATTTCATCTGGGCAGGTAAAAACAAATACCAAAAAAATGATTTGCAAGGACCTTCCAACCCAGGTCTACAAAACAGACAGAGACCTTCTGCCCTTATGGAAAAAAAAACAGACAGTATATTAAGTTAGGATATCACGGCAACACTCACCAGCTCTTAGTGCGTCTGATGCATGTCTCATTCAAATCACTACTTCTGTGGAAAGCCAAAACATCACTGCTGCAACTCTGAAGCCAGTCAGACCTTTAAAGCCACAAAGACATGAAGAGTGGCCTTTTATCTTTGCAAGTGAACTTTATGACTCAAAACTTTAGGTTGTAAGCCAGATATTGTGCATGAGGGGTTATTTGACTCGGGCAAAAGTGACAGCAGCAACCAGACCTCCAGTCCACACTTAGTGGAGTCAGGGATTATAGAGAGAAGTTAAAGGAGAGGAGGAAACAAAAGCCTCATGGGATGGGGACAGACAGCTGCACACAATCTCACACACGCAACCCCCTGCCCATCAAAAGCTGTTAACCCACACTTGGACTGCTACTGCTCTGATCCTCAGGTAGCCACCAACCAGCCACCCAGCTGTCACAGAGAGAGCATATATGCTCCCTCTGTGACAGCAGGGTTAGCCCTGCAAAGAATTAATTCCGTTTTCTGGAAATCCTCAACAAGTACAGCCTCTGTGTGGCTCTGCTGTTCCTCCTCTTATATTTGCTTTTCTGCCATTTTTGAACCCTGCAGCTTACTTCGTTTTGTGTGCATTCAGTGTTATCTGTCTCCAAAGTGGAAAGGGATCATCCTATTGCTGCCGCAGTTGTTAGGAGTTATACATGATCACTAGACAGGTGGAGAAGAGACACGAGACAGGGTCTACAGTCTCTCTGCCCCTTCGTGAATTCACCATAGAAGAGACTAGTAGAAGCTTGTGTTTTGCTCAGGCCTTCCTTCACTCCCGAGCGCACACACTCCATTAAAAAAACAAAAACATTTTCGCCAGTATTTTTGCTCAAACGGGTTATAAACAACGCCGCAGCACCCCCACCCTCTATGCCTGTTGAAAAGGCTACAGCAGAGAAACTATATTATGACTGTTCGGGGGAGCGCGCAGGGGCGTGCACGGTCACTGCAAACCAACACCGTCACGACCTCCCTGCAGCTTTCACCCACTCCGAGCTGCAGCTCCGAAAGCAAGCCAGTCCGCTCGGCTAACGCTGGTACTTACCTGGTCAGGGCCGCCGCTGGAGCCGCACGATTAGCTTTGTGCAAAAAAAGATGAGCAAATGTTCCCATCACATACTGGCGACGCAAAACATCCGGCTGGTTTGCAGCGTGACCCAGCCAAACTGCGTCAAGTTAAAAAGTGAGTAACGATACGGCTTCCGCTGTGATGTTTCAAAATAAAAGCAAACGCGTGGTTCAAATACGGTTTGAAACGTTTTTCCGTGGAAATACATGTAACAGGCGATACAATGTATATTTGTACGTTTTTCAATACATATTAAGTTCGTTTGGTTTTTCATATGTAATTCCCTGCTTCTAAAAGATATAACGTAACTTGCCTATTCAAATTCACTGTAACACCTTCCTTGCAATACATTTTCAATTTTTCAAAAAAGAATTACCTAATGTCTCTAATAAAGTTTAAGAAAATGCTTGTGGGCCATTGTTACAGAATCACATTTTCGGCGAAAACACTACATTATGAAGTATCAAGGCTAGCTTTACTAAACTGCTGGCCCGTTTGGAAGCGTTATAAAGTGGGATAGGCCGTGTGGGGCACAACACCGCCATCTTGTGCTGAAAATTAACAGTAGCAAGTACTTCTTTATTTTGCTGCGTTAATCGATATTTAATCCTCACTGGATTATTTATTTGATCAGTTACGACCTACGCTGCACAGGTTGGATATTAATTCAAGTGACTGTAAAGCCGGGGTCAAAACAATGAATAGGAGCCCAACTGTATGTGCTTAAAACACAGCTATGTAAATGTATTAAATGGGGGTTGTTCATTTAATTTATTGCATCTGTAGTTACCTTAAATATTTTTTAACTCAATGTAAACCTTTCCATTTTATCATCAACGTGTTTTTGCAACAAATTGAACAAATTGAACAAATTCATATTACACTTCATATTTTGCACCGGTTTCACCCCTTGTGACCACCACCTGTTCCTTTTCACATAGAAGGAATTTGCCTTGGTATAAATTGGTGCTTACAGTACACATGAACATAAATAGAATGATAAATATATAAAAAGTAATGAGATCAAAAATGTACAAGTATACAAAAAATACAACCTTAAACACCACTGGCACCTTACGGTCACTGTCAAACCGACTAAGCCACTGAGCTCCCTTCTCATTTCAACCTTTTCTCCGGGCGAATTTATCTTTTTGCTTTAGAAGTTGCGCTTCAAAATTCACCGAACCTCTATAAGGATCAAACCCACAACCTCTGAACAGCCTCGCGGGGGTTTTATCGCTGGACAACTGCTGAGTGTTCACACACACAACGCGATAACGCGAATAAAAACAACTCGCCGTTACTACAGCTGTATGAACCCAAAGTAAACATTTTGCTGTGATTAAATAGCAATAAACGGCTCAAACTGATGCCGAAATACTAACTAAAATATGATGCAGATTTGTTAAACATATGAATTCGTGCTTTGTCAGGTCTGTCAGCAAGACAGCAGGACAACAACTTCTAAAATGTTTGTTTTCTGAATGGAGTTCGGATCGATCAGGGCTATGCTATGCTAACTTGGTCACAGTAAAGTAGCTGGAATAAAGTTCCATACACGTGTTTTCTGAACTCACCAGGTAGTTCAACCTCCTCGCTTTCTTTTCTCCCAGCGATGTCCGGTTTTTATATATATATGAAGTAGTGCCAAACGACGCTAACACTGGATCTAGCAGCTGAGAAGCTCGAGTGAAGATAAATCAACGTTGTAATCCCAAAAACTAACGTAAAAAGCTAATTTAATAAAAGCAGTTTATTCCGAGCTCCTCACGCGAGCAAACGGCGTAGTTGTTAGAGCATAATCTAGTCCGACTACGGGTGTTCATTTGTCCAAAAGCTGGAACGCTGCTTCCTGCTCCTCTCCCACTAGTTTAGCAGCACCGGTGCCAGCAGATTTTCAATCGCCCGCTCTGCCTGGCCCTCTCCACACAACGCCCTGAAGCCTCGGTGACGTACGGACAATCTCCACGTAATAGAGCTCTTGACTGTTTCTTCTGGGAGTTGCATCAAAACTTGTTGGACCTCGATAAGGATTGATCCCACATCCTATGAACTTCACAGCAGTCCTCTACCACCCTGAGCTACTTCGGCAGACACGTTACCGCTATGTCTTAGACCTCTTTTTATTTTGGGAGTTGAGCTTCAAAATTCACGGAACCTTAATAAGGATCAAACTTACAACCTCTGATTCTCCATCACTCTGAGCTACTGGACCAGACACCTCCTGCTTATGATACACGGGGCAACTTTTTGAGCACGTTGCTGGCGGTGCGGGTGGCAGAGTGGTGGGTTAATAGTATAGTGAAATATTAAAATCCATGATGCAATTGTTTTAACCCAAACAGACAGATAATTTCTGGAAATTCCAAGACTTGAAACTGCTTCCTGGAATACACAGAAAGGATTTCTCTTTCAGTATGTGTTCACTTGAGATCCACTTGTGTTTGTGATAGTTGATACTGGGGATGTAAAATACACACCACCAAAACTTACATTATATGCTCACTTCTACGTAAAGGTGGCCATCTCATCTCAAGTTCAGTTTGGAATCAATAATTGTCAGATATTTGGGGGCTGGCAGGGACCCTGCTATTATGCTAAATACATATTTTGTGGAGGACTTTACTTTTACTGGATGTGAACATTAAAATCACCTACTGGCTGTCCAGTTTATTGAAAACAATTTTGAAGTACACAGATATTACTATTTCATGCCAATTTCTGCTTAAACACTACTTCAATTCAGATTATAATATTGTATAATATTTTTACTCACACATAATTTATTTAATCAGGAAGTCCCTGGACATAGATGACCTCTTTTATAAGATAACAAACATTTTTATACAACATTCCCAAAAGTGCAAATAACAAAGTCTAATGATGTTAAACTGTTATTTCTTCATGAAACGTTTTGAATGTGGTGTTTGCATGCCAGATATGGAGGCGGTGTTTCCAAATTAAGTTTGCCATAATAAGCTTATAAAATACATATTGTAGATTCTGTAACTATAGTGTAATAACCCAGACCACTGGTGCTTTTTCAGCTCAAGACCGGAAGGAGAAATCTTGTCTCCCTGTAACCCAAATTGACAAAAATACATCTACATTTACAAACTACAGATAAAGGGCAAAACAAACCATGTATTTAAAATGTATTAATGTACTTATTAAAGTAAACAAACATTTAGTCTCTTTCTGAATTGTTTTTTCAGGTATGCCAGAGTGGGAAAGCCAGATTCCAGAACTATGTTGTGTTTATTTAATCAACACATCTTGAAAGATTCTTCTTTGCAAAGAAAAAAAATGTTTGGACTTTCCCAGATACAGCGAATGTTTAGTTTGGAGATACATGCCCAATTTATTCATTTTAAATCCCTCATTACCGAGCACTTTCCCACATATTACACAGTGAAGCATCTATAAACTTGTCCTTTAGTTTAGACATCATAGGGATTGGCAGTGACAGACAGTCGACATAAAAATTCTGGATGAATGTGGACAGAAAATCAGGTTAGGAAGAAGAGAGAGAAAACCTCACAGCATCTGAGCTGAACATATTAACATATTATGAATTTTACTGCAACCCATTTTGGGTCCTAAGTTTGGGAAACATGGACCTAGACAAAGGGCATAGTTATGGTTCAGACGAAACTAACACAAAGAATGACACCACACTGTAAATTACTTCTGATTTTATTCAATGGAAAAAAAGACCTTCAGGAAAATACAGTTATTCCCATAGTACACACAGAGAGAACATAAATTAGAGAGGCATGGCAGAGAGACGTTTGAGGGGAAACATGTCACCTGGGTGGTAGAAAACATTTGATCCCCGCTGCCACACAGCAAGGGGCACACTGTGCACTAATGCAGGATGTAGAGGAATCAGTGAAATCACACTCTAGACTTACGTAATTAATAACGTGAGAAAAACTCGATAATTCCTGTACACAAAAGTCTAAATGATAGTACAAAAAGGGAATAATACAAAATACAAAACAGGGAAAAACTGCCCTCAAAATAAACCATAAATATTCATATCGATGCACATTGGTTGAACAAAACAATTGCTTCTGTAAACATTTTCAACATAAGGTGTGCATTACAATTTAAAAACCACTGCAGTCGCATACTTATCTGAAGGGTTACATAATAAAAATTGCAGAAACAAGACTAAAAACTAAGTCAGTTAAAAATATGCCGCTTAGTTCGCACCGTCTGAAGTGGTTTTGTAACACTGCTTTTAGAACGTGTGACTTTTTGCCTTTGCTCTTTACAGATGATCAGAAAGTGAAAAGCATCTCGCTCCCAGGTTCTGCAGCCCTCAGCGGTGGCCAGTGAAGGCACCGCCCTTATGGAGAGCGGGATCAAAGAGTCAAAGAGTTTATGCAAAATTATGTGATCTCGTTTTTGACTTTTCGCATCCATACATACAGTCTACAGTTTAACAGTGGAATGAGACTTGACATGAAGTGACAAAACATGTCTTGCCTTGTCGTGCAGGTTTTAGAAGATGAGAAATGCAAAAAAGTAAAATGAAGCAGCACAATTCTGTGATGGAGTAATGATCCAGTTAAAGTAGTGTATTACTGCACTGAATAAACTGTCTGTCTGGAGCCCAGAAGAGGTCCTGTATTGAATCACACGGGTTATTCAGACTCAAGTGTTCCTACAGTATGCCAAATCCAAATGTCTTCTACTTTTAACATGTCAAAACCTGCAGAGGATTTTGAGCCGTTTTAATCAGCTGGAGACAGCTTTAAAAGGAAAAATATTAAGCTAAAGTCTCCTTCAAAATACAGAGTTGGGTGATCGTAGAAGTTGCAACTGTGCAGATGGAGGACAGCTAACCCCGATTTCCTCCCCTGGAGTGTGATGTTCAAAGTTTCTTCTTCAGCCCGCTAGATTTATGCACAATGCTTTCATTCCCTTTCTGTCACTACTGCCCACTGGCCTCCATGCTACCTTAATGGCCACCTGCTAAAATCTGTATGTCTAATTCACAGTTTATCCTAGCCCTACTTATGACTGACATTAAAGGAAAAATCCACCTAACAAACAAAACAAAACAAATCACAAAGCTTTTGGTAATGCACGTCACATTTCTGGGTCCATTTGTGGTTTTGGAGGTGTGTTTTTAGATTTCCAGTAGAGCAACAGACTCCAAGGCAATGACCGTATGAAAATGAGCAATTGATACAGGCAGAGCAGATTAAGGAGAAGCCAGCTGACCAGAACACTTAATAACAATATGGAAAATTACAGATTGACGCTAAATGGGGTGAATTTTTCCTTTAAAACCATCTATGGGTGGGTGTCTTGTATTCTTATGCTTTATTTATGTGCAGCAAGTCACATACAAAATATACAGTGTATGAAAAACCATGGCTAATGGTGTGGATAACACCAAAGCAACATGCCGTCATAAACAGGGCTACTTCTGTCCGACATAACCTACAGTACACGTGAGGCAATGTGGTAAAGGTTGAGAAAGTGTCTGTAAAACCTGGGAGAGTCTGGAGCCCACAAGGTTGATGCAGTTAGTATGTACAAGCTGATATCCAGTACCCTGTATTTAATGGATATATCAAGAAGGTCCCTTCAAAAAAATCTTCACTTTAAGGAGGAGAAGGCAAACAAAGTGAAGACACAGAGGCAGATTTACATGTCAAGCGTTAGGAAAACTGTGGCTGTGAACTAGTGTTAAATGACATGCTTGACGTAGAAATCTAACGTGGTGGGAATATGAGTTAATTTTGCCTAAACACAGCTACAAACAGCTACACTCAAGGTGTGGCGTATACAGTATTGGCTGTCTTTGAAACAGCAACAGCCGCGTTTAGCCTCCTATCAACCCCTCACATGCTCAGTGTTTCCTCAACACATACACGATGCAAAGTTTTACTATGACACAAAGATTAACCATCAACAGGCAACAGATCCCGCACCTTGCAGAGGAAGAGGAGGAGGGGATCAGCTCAAAGTTTTGGGCAGTGGGGCTGGGGTGAGGAAAAACCTGGAGGCTGGTGAGTGTGTAATATATTTAACCAGTACACTCAGTGGACTTGTGACAATGCACACAAACTGAACGCACCTCCCCGCCCCCCAAACACACACACACACACACCCATCACTCGCTTCTTTTCAGCATTATAGTCCAATCCGTTGTTTGTCTGCCCGCCCGTTCAAGGCGAGAGGAAGCCGTTCCCTCCGTCGAGATGCTTCTCCACTTCAGGCTCAAGGCTGTTTCTCTTCATCGTCGTCGGTCATGGTCACAATCGTCATCTGTTGGTCACTGCTTAAGGTGTGGTCGTCGTGTTGGCTGGTGTGGTGGGATGTCGTCGACTACCAGCTCATGAGGGAAGTGCGTCCCAGGGTCATAAAATACACCTGGCTGGCACCTCCGGGGCGCACGGAGGCGAAGAAGACCTGACAGACGAGGGGACAAAGGCAAAAATACATGAGCTAAATGCTATTTAGTGACATTTCTGATCCTGCCGATTGGCACTCAGGAAGGTAAAGGATGTGCCTCTTTACTAGGTCTCCTGGACTCCAACTCAAAAATTTAAATGTAGCCAATTGGTATTGAGCTCAATATGTTGTGTGGCTTCCTTTGTAACTGTGATATATAGGATTTGCTGCTTTAGTTTGCATAAACAGCAAACTTAACATGCACAGCTTAGAAACAATAAGGATAGCTGGAAGATAGAAAGAACAGTTATGTTCTCACCTTGTCATTCCTCTCACAAAGGAACTTGAGTCTCTGGGCTCTCTTGTGCATGAAGACGCCATCCAGGTGGCCCGTCTCCACTGAGCGGATCTCTATGGCCTTCTCACCCCAGCCCATGATCTGGTTTGACCTAATGTAGGCTGCTCGGCCACAGAGGGAGACAAAAGAAGGGAATGACTAAAAAATAGTGACGAAATTTGAGGAGGCTCCACCACAGGGTCTTTAGCTCGCACTTGTGGTGCATGCTGAAGAACAGATAATAGTCAACCTGAGCTGTTTGTCCACTTACCCACTGAAGTTGGCATTTCTCCCCACTGCAGCACCACGTCCTTGGTGATGCGTCCGTAGGTGTTGACGTAAACGCCCTCGTCCTCGTAGCACACCAGCAGCTCAATCCCGTCTGTGTTGGGCAAGATTATGATGGCGTGGCACTGAATGCTGGTTTGGATCTGCAGGGAGGGGGGGAAGAAAGAAGAGTTAGAGGGAGAGAGAGTGAAGAGCATGAAAAACAAGTTATGATCAGACCGCGCTTACATGTGTGGGCAGGTAGATGTCGTAGACGGCACCGGAGTCCACATCCACAGCATGGAAGCCTGAGCAGGAGCCGTAGATGACCTTTAACCTCTGACCCTCTTCCACAGTCAGGTCAACCAGCAGAGGCCTGTGCACCAGGTCACCAAAAGACTAAAGCCAACCATGAATAAATAAGTTAGTAGGGTCAACCTACACAGTTGTAACAACTAAAAGCATCAGTCTTTGGTGGAATGATTAAGAGATCCAGATCCAGCCATGCTTACCTTAAAGGCCATGAATTTGTGGTAGGGTTTGGGTGCCCAGGCGTACACCTCCACAGCGTTTTTCAAGGCCAGCACCAAGAATTTAATCCTCTCATACTTCACTGAAATGAAAAGGAGAAGTGAGTCACCCATGAGTAATAGTATTGCTTAAAGTAGAGCTTATCAACACAGCCAAGAGTAACCCTCTCTTCGTGTGTATTATTCATTTGAGGTTCAGGAATCTTTGACAGACGTACCGACTTTGTAGTGGACGCAACCCTCCAAGTCGCCCACGTTAACCCAACCCTGCTTCTTCTCCACCTCAGGGTCGTTGTGCAAAATCTTGTTTCTCAGCCACGACAGGTAATACACTCGCAGCTTGTTCTTTTTACCTGCAGGAGGTGGAGTTTGATAGAGAGAAAGGAGTGTGAGTTACAAGATGGGCAAACACAGCTATAAACTGTAGAGCACATGCAAATGCAAAGTTTAGGCCTGTGTTTTCTGTCCATTCTCAAAGATGAGTCAGACTGCAGCAATATATTTCTCCAAAGAAAATAAAAGTGGTTTCTAAGCGGTGAAGTCCAATGAATAAAACCAACCACCTATCCATCCAAACCTTCATCACTAAAAAACAAGACTAAAAAAACAATACATGTGTTCAGTGGCCAAAGGCAGCACACGTTCTGTACCCGATATGGTGACCAGGACATTGAGTCCCTCCAGGACATCCATCTGCTGGATGCGTCTCCTGTTGATCAGGGGGTAGACCTTCCCCTGACCACTTCGGTCCAGCAGCATGAGGCCGCTCTCTGTCCCCACCAGCAGGTTCACTCCTGGAACAGCCACACAAACAGAAACGAAAAGCCCATAATTAGCAGAGCTTTGATGGAAACCAGGGTAGAATAATTAGGTTTTACAGGCAACCACCCCCACTGATGTGCTTCTGAGCAAGACCAGTCGTTGTATGCGGCGCGCACTGCCAAATCACATGTCGATTTTTGAGATACACTTACCCCAGAGTGCAGCACACAGGATCTCAGAGTTGAATCTCTTCTTGTACTTGCGAATCTCCGGCGTGTCACTCGGCGGGCGCGTGTTGACTGGGTTGACGTTCACCACCGAGCCTTTACGGGACGGGTCCGACCTCAGCGGGTCCGCCAGCCGTCCGTCCTGCCCAAATGCTGCTGGAAGGGGGCACATAGACGTCAGGCTGGATGCCACCATGCACTTATTATTATTATTATAAAACAACCTGGTGCCTGGTTTTAACACATGTACACTTCATCTTCATCAATCTCTCAGTTTATTAACATCCCTCTTGTACTTGTCCCATGACACCTTCTTATAGTGTGAGTGCATGTGACTATACTGCAAATATCCCCTTGCAAAACAGTGTACATTACTTGACTCATCACCTCAGCTCAGATGTTTCAACATCATTTCTTTATCAGTGACAGAAATGTTTTAGTTTTTTTTTTTTTTTAATCTGCGGGGGAAGTTATTGCTCAGAAAAACACCCTCAGCAAAAAAACAAACAAAAAACTTCTGTCGTTGCAGAAGTGAAGCAGGATGTGTTCAACAGTTTTTCCATTACTGCGCTGCCCTAATAAACACATTCGCTCGTTTAGTTGTTGACCTACCCATGTTGCTGAGGGAGCTGCCGCTGGATGGAGAGATCTGGAGAAGACGAGGGTCGATGAAAGGAGTGAAGGAAGAGGAAGACTTGTGTTTGGACATGGAGTTGCTTTCTGACTGGGACTGACAGAGATTTTAAGACGTTTAGAAAACAGAGACTTTCAACTTGTGCTTAACCTGCATAAAAAGCAGTTCATGTTTGTCGGGAAAACTGGATTTAATAGATCATTATAAATGAGCTGAGGCCTTTGGTCCAAACCATGACATCAAGATTTGTTACACTGATTTGTAATTTTGAAAACTGACTGTTGACTTAAACTAAAATAGCAATAGGCCCCCTCAGTTTGAACATAGAAGTTACAGCTCCACATCTAGGGGCTAATAAAACAGCAGTCAGCTTAACTATCTTCAATCAAACTACATTTCTATGGGACAGACAAGTGGGAACTCATAGCTGGCACTGCAATTCAAGTCTGTAACAAATCAAATGAGAAAAATACGACGTGCAGTTGTGTTAGTGTGTGTTGAAGCTAGCGAGGACAGAAATGTTAGAGGAAAAACAACATGTGCGACAAGGAGAAATGTGTCCAAACACCGGCTGCTGTGAAGCGTTAGAGGAAAAAGCTGCTCCTAATAAAAGCACAGAGGATCGTTATTCCAACTCCCAAGATGATTGATGTTGTTTACAACGCAGTTATGTGTCACACTGCAAACGAGACAGTTATTTGGAATAATCAACGTTAAAAGTAAATGTGATTTCTTCTCATTAAGTAGGTCATACGTACTTGAGGATTTGTGGCCCGTTCCATATTTGACACACTAGGCCTAAAACCTTTAATATATTGTCCCATCTACCATCACACCAGGCATGCCATCACCCAACACTGCTAAGACTACCCAAAGTGGTTATAATGCGATACAGAGATGTTTGTTCAACCCGAGAAGCTTCAGTTTAGTTTCCCCCCCGTGCCATGACCACGTTCTACCACCAGGAGGCACCAGTGTTAGCAGTGACACAATGAATGCAATGCAGTGAATTGCAGGACAGAAGGAGGTTGCAGCAGCTCAGAGGATTCAAACCAGGTGACAGCCAAGCCAGAAGCGAGCAGAGGAGAGCCAGAATGAAGCCAGAAGGGGACAGAGAGGCTCTGAACAACAATCAAGGACTGGACGGCGGGTGTGTACAGGCTTAGAGATGGAGGTGTGTTTGCTACAGGAGCAAATATTACCCGATCCTGCTTAAAATAACTAGACAAAATAGCGTTTGCAAATCATTTATTTTACCTAGCTTTACGTCCATGGAGTGGATGACGATATAAAAACTATAAAAATAATAATAATACAAGAAGAACACTCAATAATAATAATTCTCTAAGTTTGAAACTTAGTCTTGAAGCAGTAAATCTTTTACCATCTTGGACAAAAATTTGATAAAACAAACAATTGCAACTGCCATTTGACCCAAACCTGCTTACTGCATGTCTAAGCCTGCACACTCTGCAACAGTTCACTCCTCGGTTGTTTGTCTCTGTGATGTGAGGGTGACATACCTCTATGGCAGTGAGCTTGTCCAGGGTGTTCTGTGGGGACATGGCAGGACTGGCATGGCTAGATGATGAGGGGAAGGAGGAAGAAGAGGAGGAGGAAGGGATGGTTGTGGAAGAGGAAGGGGAGTGATGGCTCTGCTGGATAAGGTCTGGCAGGTGGTATATGCGGCCTGCAAAGCCATTTTTCTCTGGGAGGCCATGGCCGGGGGGCTGAGGCTGGCCTTGGCCATGACCAGGGCCAGCCAAGGAAGAGGAGGAGGATGAGAGATTGACCAACCGCTTTATGTCAACGGTGCTCTGGAAGCAAGAACAGGCACACTTTGGCTCGAGCAAGCAGGCGGAGAGAATGAGGAGATGCATGTTTGGCTGCTAGTCTGCTGCTTTGCATCAGGATCCTCTTATCCCGACATCAACACATTCTTTAAATTCATCTCTGGAGGCCACCACTGCTGTGCATGTCGCGTTGCATGCAATCTATAACTATCTGATGCATTAGTTTACCCGTCTGTAAATGTGAGATGTGAAGTAGCAAGTCTATAATAACAACAACAACATAAAAAATGCCATGGTAATGTACAGGAACACAGCGGAAATAGTGGAGAATGAGTGGATAAATGTCTGACACTGGACAAAGAAAAATGAAAATATTTCTATCAACAATATTCAAGCAGAATATGCCTTTAACTTAACAAGAACTTGTCTTGATGAGTAGAACTTCTCATTAGGTCCGATTTCGGTCTCCTCCTCTTACCTGTCTGATGACCAGCGTGCCATCCTTGCAGGGAGTAGTGGCTTGGTCACTCTCCGAGTCTTCAACCAGCATGGTCTTGGCAGACTCCGTCTCCCCGTTACTCAGCCTCCTGCAGAAGCCATGGGAATATCTGATGTCCGTAACCAGACCAGTGTTAACAGTCATGCAGAAGAGCCATGCAACACTGATGAGTCTCACAATGCACATTGTCTTGGGTCACTATCTTTAACATTATCTGACAAGGAAATATTTATTTATAGATTAAATTAAAGAGAAGTGATTGAATAATGTCTTACAAAGAAACATGAATGCAACAGACAGTGCAAACACTGAAACTACACTGGCACCACATGATCACGGTTAAACCTACCCAGCCCTGGAGTCCTCAGCTCCTGAGGTGGACTCGTCTCCCGCCTCCTGGTCCACCTCCTCATCGTCTTCCTCGTCGGTGGTGCCCGAATCCTCACTTGAAGAGGAGTAGTCTGTGACCTTATGGGGAGGCCTCACATCGTCTACTGCACGAAGCTCTTTGGCCAGAGCTGTCAGGTCCTAAGAGGAACAGTAAGGAGGTCTTAAAAAGACTCGATTCTGATATTGTGTCATAACTCAGGTTGTCTAGAATGATGCTTGATTAGTTTTAAAATCTGGTGCAGTTTATGCACCAACCAAATAAAAAAGCTACCAATCATAGTAACATGCAGGAATGTAATGCCACACTTATATATATTTTAATTCCAAAAGAAATTAAGTAATCTCAGGTGAATTACTGCATAACAGACTCTTGTTTTGTAGACAACCTAAAAGGAGCCTTGAAGTCATCCCTCCTCACTTCATGTAAACTTTTTTCTATTCAGCTTACATATACCTACAGCCACCGGCCTCTGTTTTTGCATTGTTTATTTTTAGCCCAGCACTACATTTATCTATAAAAAGAGACCTGTACTTGAGTCGACATGTTTAAACCTCTAGAGTAAAGCAACTTCACCTTGGGCTTGAGAAAAAGGCCAGTTTAAAACCTTGTCAAGATAAGATCCCAGTAAGTAATAGATGCGGTGAGTTAAATGGCATATTGTTTGGAAAATCAAGTAATCAGATCATAGTATAATTGTTTTCTAATTCCTAGTTAGTATTTATCCCTCTAGAGTCAGTGTCTTGTAAGGGCAAGTTCACCTCGGCTTGCTTTCCCCTCGCATACTCTTAATAAAGCAGCCTCGTAAGGTTAGTGACAAAAAAGGGAGGAGGGACACTTCCCTGACATGCTCAACAAAGAAAGGGGCCACAGTTTATCCAACAACAAAACCAGGTGAGATTTGGAGCAATTATGGCAAATACAAGGAAACAGGAAGTGTGTGTTTGCATTCAAATGTGGCCGCATTCAAATCTAGGCTCGGGAAGCTGCTGCAGAAGGTTAACCCTCCAAGTGCCGTGTGCGATGACAAGCACTAAAGTGAGATAAAAGTGTACAGGCAGGAAGACATATGCCGGTAGAAGGCAATCACATCACAGGCAGAGAGGACAGTTACCACTGACAGAACTACAACAAATTACTCCGTTAATCCTCACAAAGGAGAAACAGTTCCTTTGTCACAAACCTTTATCATATAATGCAATGAGGGGGGCAATGGTGCAAGCATAGCATAGGTGTGATTATTTAATCTCATTTAATAGGCTTACCACATCAGCCTAAGAGGTTCCCCCAACAATCACGAACCAATGGATTTGTGAGAAGTTGCACACACCAGGTGGTTGAATAATTAGAGCAGTAGAAAATAGAGATAAACACAAGTGGAAAAAAAACAAAAAATAAACAGTTTTCACCGATTCAGCATCAAACAAGTTTAACCAGCACTTTAGTAACAGTGGACTTACAGCTGGTCGAGTGGGCCTGGCAAGGTTCTTTTCATCTTGTTTTTTGGGAACATTTTCAGGCCGCTGGAGAGGCGACCCTTCAGATTTGGAGGAAGCTTTGAAGGAACAAAAGAAAGTAGCGTTAGTGAGGGGAAACAGAACTGGGCAAAGAGAGCTGGCTCTGAAACAATCTTCAACTGCCTGAATAAAAAAAACAGCAGTAAAGGTACTAGAGCGTGAGCAGACAGCGCGGCATAGTAATGTGTAAGAATGGTGGTATTACAGTAATAATGATAATGTACTAATAAGCCGTTAGCAGAGGTGGTGAAATGTAGACGAGTACAGTACCAGGGGACTCACAGCGTGGCCTGAAGCGATCACCAGAACTGGCCTGGGAGCTGGAGTTAGAGGAGCCGGAGGAGCTGCCACTGCCTGGCCGGGGCTGCAGCTTCTCCACTCGGTCCCACAGCGGGCGCTGCTCCACATTGCTGTCAACAACAATGGGGCTAAGACTGATTCACATATTTATAGAAAAGCTAATAAGTAAGCCATTTAATGAAGAACTTTTGTTTCATCTGCCTGCAACTAATGATTTAATAAAAGCTCTATAACTACTTAGGATTTTTAACTGCAAGTGTATATAAAAAGGTAATTTAATCTGTTACATACTCTTATAATGGTAAGAATTTACCAATTTTACATTCATGTTAAAATAAACAGACATTTGTTGGAAGTATTTGCTGAATCTATCACTTCTCTATAAATATATTTAGATATGTGACATTTTCTACCACTCTAACATTTCCAGACTTAACAGACACTGGCAACAGTAGTTCCTATAATACCCTATAAAATCCTTTCAAATTGTGATGTCTCTTTACTTACACGCCAGCGTTCCTCTGTCCGACCTGGCTGCTGGGCTGTGACGGCAGAGGGGACTCTCGGCGCGACAGCACTGGAGACCTGGACGTTGTCCTTACTGGTACCTGGAGGAAACAAATTTCAAAAAAAGGTCCTCACACAGTGGCAGGTATTTGTGTGTTAGATGATCCCATTAAAAACAGACATCAGCGAATGAATATCTTCCAAAATGAACATCTACCTATCAGAAAATGAACAGTGTCAGCATACCCGTATTCAGATCCACAGTTGCAGCAAAACAGAATGCACTGCGGCATCATCAAGCATAAGCTTCAACGTGTCACTGAATGCCAGAGTAAATGATCTGAACAAATTTTATTGTGACAAGAAAACAGATAAATGTACTTTATTCAGTGATTTTAGCTGCAGACATTGAGCATAACATTGTGACTTACTGCTGATAATTATAAAATAAGTATTATTAATAATAAAAATTAAAGTTCACAAGAGTTTGGGGAAAATAAATGAAGTACCCAGAGAAGAGCAACATACCCACTATAATTTGATAAACCCAATATTTGCAGTAGATTTCCCCAAAATAATTCTGGCATGGGTATGGACACAGGTAGAAAATCTTGAAGTGATACAGTACACCAAAGCACCTCTAAGCCCACCACAACAGAGCACTCAGAGAAAGCTGGACTTCACTGTAGAACAGCAGAACCCGGCTCCCTCACCACACCACACACATCAAGCGCAAATGACTGAGTTTTGAATATTGCAAAGTTCAAAACCTCATGAGGTCATTTGTAGGGCAAGAAATGCAAAGTTTCCTGGTTTAAATTGAATACAACTTATAGTAGTTGTATTTCACAGCAGTGTTCAGTGTTGATGTTCAAGAAACAAGACTGAACACAGCAAAGCAGACACAAACAGACACAAAGGTTGTGGTTGAGCAGCATGATAAGTGAAGTGACTGGGATGAGTGAATGAGGGAGAGGAGAGTCAGGGTCAGGGTCAGGAAACGGTTGGGGAGAGGGGGGCCCTCATCAGCTCCTTACCTTGGGAGGTACCTCCTCGCTGCTGGCCTGGTGTTCGGACCTAGTATGGGCCTGAGGGTGGTGGAGGGGAGGTTGGGGCTGGGGGTCAGTGCGTGCGGGCGAAGGGTGGTGGTGGTGATGGTCCTGGGAACGCAGGTGGAGTTGTGCAAAGCTAGAAGTCACACCGCCGGGCTCACTGAAGGACTGGGAGCGAGAGACCACGGGCGGAGGAGGAGGAGAGGGGGCGGCACTGTTGCTGCTTTTTAGAGCAGCCAGGTGGGACCACTGGACCTTTTGGGGGGGGGGCAAGGAGGAGGAGGAGGAGGAGGAGGAGGAGGAGGAGGAGTGAAACAAGCAGACAACACAGTGAGACATGAGGGAAGATGTGTGTGGCTTTTTTACATTCAGCTCTGATTTATACACATGTAGACAAAACCACAACACGACACAATGATTTGTTTCACTCATTCATTCAAGTGGTATCTTTAGATTGATGCAAACGCTTAAAGGACTAGTTAGGTAATTTTGTGGAATACCCTTATTTGCTTTCTTGTCGAGAGTTAGAGAAGATTGTTATCAGTCTCATGTTGGTAAATATGAAGCTCAAACAACATTGTTTCATTTTTATGCATTTATGTACGGACTAAGCATGCCAGATATTACATCTTAATTAAGGAGTTTCAGATGTGCTGAGAGGCAGATTTTTTCTTCCTTCTGACATAGCCAGGCAAGCTGTCGCCCCCCATTTCTAGTCTTGTTGCTAAACTTAACCGGCTGCTGGCAGTAGCTTAAAATTTAGCATATAGATATGAGAGTGCTAGTGTAAACACACATACGTTGGCCATTTTAAAATACTCTACATGGCCATCCCTTGTTTAGATTAGTGGTTCTCAGACTCAAACCTCAGACTGATCCCAGGCAGGCAACACAACAAGGATGTGTTTGGTTTTATAAGCAAAAAGGTTGCACGTCATACACACTTGTGTTCGAGCGTGCACTCCTTGCCATTTGCTCAGAACTTGTTGCAGTAGACAGTTTCATTGCAGATGACTTTCTATCTCGCAAAATGTTTCCATGTAGAAGGAACAGCAGTTTACCGCCCTGCTGCCCCAAAACCGTGTGAGTACACAAATCCAGCAGAGAGCAACAGCAGGAGGAAGAGGAAAAGAAAGAGGAGGGGAGGAAGGAGTTACCTGAGGCTCCATGGGCCGGTGCATGGCGGGGGCCTCGGAGGAAGAGCCGCCATTGGAGAATGGTTCAGAGGAGCGGGGAGGCAGTGGGGGCTGCTTGGGAGGAGCGGCAGTCTGAGGGGAGCCCTGAATGTTCTTACGGTAGCGCTCGTCGGCCTGGTATGAGGGAATCGTACAGGGAAAAGCTGGAATGAGCATCAGCGGAAATATTTTTATGAATCTCTTTAAAATGGATTTTAAAAAAAGTAAAAAAATCAAGGAGAGGGGAACCATTTCTAAAGTTTATAATAACAGTGGCAAAGATGAAACGTGTGCACAGACCATGAAATATGGCCTGAATGCAACCATGCAGGTTCTGGGAAGTGGTTCCCATCTTCTTGTTTTTTGAATATTATTGTCCATTAGGACTTTTAGGTCTTTTGTCATACTCAGAAACCTTCATATTTGACTGACAACAATCAACAATAAAGACATCTCGTGACAATGGTATCAAACATGCTTGAAGCCCATTCGAGGCAGCCGTACAGACGTAGGTGCATGTGCACAGACAGGTGAAGACAGGACTCTTTAAACAAATACTTCCTAGAAAATTCTTCTTAATGATAAATGGTGGGAAAGATCATTGTTAATGACACAGAACAGCTCTGTTGATGGTGGGTGTCCTGCATGTTAGTCTGGGCCTCAGCCATCCACATGCAACAGGCCCAATCCACACACACAGAGTCAAAAACAGCCACATTGAAGAGAATCACAGGTCAGCCATTCAAGATCAAGAGAAATCCCAAACACATCTGTATTGTTCTGACAAGAAAAACCTCAAAAGAAAAGGATAAAATGAGCACTTGATTTTTCCTTCTGATCAGAAAAGGCTCAAAAGGCAGTAGATTACAGAGTGAAAAATTATGGGAACTAAAGTAGTAAGCACCAAAAAGATGCTCATGTATGCAAGAAAATGAATTGAATCCAATCATCTTTTTTCATGGGGAAACAAATTAATTCTGAATGTGGAGACTTAAAGATTTTTATGGAAGTTAAACAGGAATCCTACAAATTGATTATTTCTCCTCCTCTTGCTCCGCCTGCTTCAAGTGAAAACTGCGACAAAAATATTTCAAACACCCTAATGGTTTTAGTAATCAAGGACACTAGCAAGACTGAAAGTGAGGGCGAGTGCCAAGAGAGAATAGAGGAGTTTCATTCAGCTCATAAAAAGGCTGGTTGCGAGCCTGTAGGTTTCCATTCTCAACCTTCTCCCCCTGCTTGATTTATTCAAAGGGTCTGGTTATAGGGCTTGGTTGTAACAAATTAGTTATTGGCCTAGAATAACACCAAAGTGTTCAAAACAGAAATCACTAAATTAAATGTACCTATTTAGGCTAAAGAAAAAACATAATTTGCTGCTCGCACCACCTCTATCATACGACGGCATATTAGGGCCATTGTAGGTAAAAATAAATTAATGATAGAGCCGGGGAAGGAGGGTAATATTCGATGAAAAAACTCAGAATGTCTGAGATCTGTCTGTCTCTAAAATTGCAAAATTACAAGAAAAAAAAAAATCTGAAATTCTCTAAGATTTATCATAAATGTACGAGAGAAAAACTTTAAATACTATTTGTGTTATTAAAGGCTCTGTACTCTATTAAAAGAACCTGTCACATCTAATCTACTTTCACAAACCAGTATTGTAAGAAAGATTCTTCTGTTCAAAGACTAAAAGCATTAAAAACTGGGGAATACATTTATAAAAGATTTGACACATGCTTTAAAGTGGCTTTGTTGCAGTCCCTCATATCTGCCCAACCGTCTGCCTAACTGATTCTTGTCTTGCATTATTAATGACTGAAAAAAACGAGGCAAATTTTTTCTCGTAAATGTATGACTTCTGTTAAAAATCTACAATGCCCTAATGCACCATTGTACTATCCTCATGGTCACTGAGGCTGTGTAAAGACAAGCAAGAAGAAGCTGGAAAGAGCAGGCAGCGGGGTAGGCAGAGGCAAGGAGGTTCACCTCTCTGATAGGCTGCGGAGGAGGATTACTGACAGGCTCTGCTTGCCTATCAGTCTCCAGACTTTCTGCCTGGGGTGGTTCAGAGTCGGTGGGGGTTTCAGTCTGAGGGGGGCTGGGGGAGTTTGAGAGCTGGCTGGTACAAGTCTCATCAGAATCAGTCTTCTCTGGCACTGCTGCCTCGGGTTTAGTGTTGTCTGAGGGGATTGTCTGAGGGGCTTTGGACGACTCACAAGCGCCTTTTGCTACAGAAACAGGACTTTCAAGGACCTGAGCTTGAGGAGTTGTGGAGAGGACTCTGTCAGGGGGCAGGGTGGAGGTCTGTGGAGGTTTGCTATGGTCTGAAGAGAGTTTGGTCTTGTCGCCTTGTTGCTGTTTGGATTCGTGCTGGAGCGACAGCAGGTAGGCCTGCTCCTGCTGCAGGCGCTTATGGAGTCGCTCGGCCTTGCGCTGCTCCTCGAGCTCCCGCCACTTGAACTCCTATTGCAGGGTTGATTCAAGGTGGTGAGAAGAGACTGAGACCTGGCAGCCTGCATCGGCCTGACAAACTTCAGCCGACTAAAATCAGTGCCATCTTAAAAATCCTTTCATTAAAAATTTTTTACAGACAGACTTTGAATGCATTTGCCTGTTTTACACTCCGGAAACTCCATTTTATTTATATGCAATATTTTAGCATTCTTTAATTGTAGTCTTCCGACTCTAAAACTAACTTGTGCTGTGTAGTGTGTTATGTAAAAATACACAATCTTTATTAAAAGGGCAATACATGGTACAGACTCAATGAAACAAATAAAATATACATAATGTATAATAATAATAATAATAATAAAAATAAAAGAGTTTGGAGTTCCAATCATCAAGCAAATTAATGGTTTGGTTCACCTGACAAAAACAATGTGAAACATGATTTTTTAAAAATAGGATGCACTGACAAAACATGATACAATGGAAGCACACAAAATGTCTTTGTAGTATAAATCAGTGGCTTTTGTCAAGGACCCCTAAACTGACACAAATTAAAGACTTTGTCCCAGGGAATCCCCTTCTGATAGGATTTTTGCTTTTAGATTTTTTATTACAGAAAGTAAATTAAGCCCACGACCATAGTAGTCATCCATTCTGTCATTGTGTTACTTAAATAAATTGAAATGGGAAATGACTCAATTATTTGATGATCTGAAGATGACTCTGATTGACAGAGTTTAATCAAAGTGCAACTCTAATAAACTCGAAAAAAGATTTTTAAACTTTCCTCAGATTTAACCAGTTTCTCATTGTTAGGTTGTTGGTTTAACTTTCAATGTATTGATCAAAGTACTTCACTGTAATGTCTACAACAATTTATATAAAAAGAAAATTAAAATTACATCTTGCAATGAAATAAAACTCCAGGAACATTAAAAGCAAATTACCTACACACCTTAAAAACAGTCTTTAGTTACTGTAATGTTGAACTACTAAGTGATACATTTTAGCTCAACTATAAGCGTCCTCAATATTATGGAGATTATACAGGATGTGGTGTGTGTGTGTGTGTGTGTGTGTGTGTGTGTGTGTGTGTGTGTGTGTGTGTGTGTGTGTGTGTGTGTGTGTGTGAGTGAGTGAGAGAGTGTGAGAGAGAGAGAGAGAGAGAGAGAGAGTGAGTGAGTGAGTGAGAGAGAGACTGACCAGCAGCATGGCCTGTTCACGGAGCAGCTGCTCCTGGAGCATCTCCAGGTGTCTCTGCTCCTCCTCCAGCTGACGCCTGATGTACTCCTGTCAATCGAAGCAACGCAAAGCAGCCAGTGGGCATTATTATCATTCCAATAAAAATTTGAAAATTTAAAAAAGTATTATAGGAGACATTATACACTACACTCAACATCAAATCTGTCTTATTCTCTCAGTCATTCCTTAAAACCCAGCCTCTGAATCAGCTCCCTGAATGCACAAGGATCTACCAAAGTTACTCCACCTCCTGTGATTATTTAGTTTACAGCCACAGCTTGTGTTGTCTGCATTTTGGTTCTCCGTGACCATAATCATCTCTTTCTCTATGACTAGCAAATTCCACCTTTCTGGTGTGAGCGGACAGACCTCCAGTCATCTCAAAATAAGTATGACAGAGCCTTTAGTGAGTCCTCACTTGATACATTGAAGGCAAATAAATATATTTTAAAGCTGACCTGTTCACGATCGTTCCTCCTCTTCTCGTCCTCGGCGCGCCGCCGTTCCTCCTCTTCTTTACGTCTACGGTCCATCTCTTCGATACGCCTCTTCTCCTCTTGTTCACGGCGACGCTGCTCGCGCTCCTGTTGCCTCCTCATCTCCCGTTCACGTCGTTGTTGCTGCGAGGGCAGTGGACAAAAGAAACGTCAACATTTCTCAACATAAACATGGCTTTGATCAGCCTCATCTCTTGAGAGCTCGGTGACACAGTCCGTTTATTCCCCCCAAAAAACAAAAACAAAATCTACCTCCTCCAGCCGCCTCCTCTGCTCCTTCTGTTGCTCAATGCGTTTCTGCCTCTCTGCCAATAGTTGGCGCTTATACTCCTCCTGCTCCCGCATCTGCTGTTCCTGGAGCAGCTGCTGGCGACGCAGCGCCTCTGACCGATCCTTGTTCTCCTGCTGCAGGCGGATGAAGTCGCGGCGCAGAGTTGACTCACCTGGCACATTGACAATGGAGCTGGGTTCCAGGAGAAATTGGGAAACGGGTAGATTAGAGAGACACTGGGTTAAGTTTGTAATGTATCCAATAAATCTTTTTTAGACAATACCTGGGCTCTCCCTCCTGCTCTGGGGGATCCTCTTCCTCTTCCTCACTGCCACTGTACTCGTACTCTGTCTCATCTGTACAGAAAAAGGAATGAACAAGTTAGAATAAGAACTCAAAACCTCACCACAGCTAAAAACAGGCGAGAGATGACATGAGATTTTCTTTTATACAAAATGTTTCAAGGTTTTCTGCCACAATAAAAAGAGAAGCAAAGTTGGCAAGTGAAGACACAGAGAGACAGACGCACCTTTCTCTCCCCTCTTCTTCTTGGTACGGTCGATGTGGTCCTTGAGCTGAATGCGGACTTGCCTCTCGTTGGGCTGGTCTCGGATGAAGGGGTGCTTCAGCAGCTGCTCCGTCGGGGGGCGCTGCGTGTAGTTCTTTACCAGGCAGCCTTCGATGAAACTAAAAAACTTTTTGGACCTGTGGGGATTGTAGAGGAAGAGCAGGGAAGAGGGATCAGAGAGAAACGCAAGAGTCAACCGAGAGGAACAATGAATGACAGAGAGGGTGCCAGACAAATATGTCTGCCGTGAAAGGATAATGCACATCCAAGGATCCTAAGAGGAATGGACCCTTCATGTCACTGAAACACTCCACAGTATGACAACAGCCTCTGGTTTCTCTGTGTTAATTGAAGTTTATGCATGTAGACAGGGAGCATCAAAGCTTTCATCACATATATACCATGAAAAGTCTGAAACATTGGGCACGGCACAATGGAATTATCATCACCACAGCACCTGCTGCCATAAAGGTGTGGGTTTATTTTACATTCAATTAAACTATTTAAAAATGAAACAATCTCACAGCAAAACAATCTACGATTTAATGCAAGATAGGATCCATAATAATATAGAAGCTTATGCATACCACAACTTCTGTTAAAACAGGAACTAATGCATCTCAGCTCTACTGCCAGTTTTAAAAAAAAGTCAGAGGTTGGAGTTTTTTCTGCAGTGCGTCCAGAGCAGCGCTGCAGTGAGTGCCAGTAGAGGCTGATCCTGCCAGAGCAGGTGTACCACAGATGTTCAGCTCAGCAGTAAAGTTAAGAGGAAAGGCCAAGCTCTGGATTCAAGCCTCTGAAGCTGGCTGGTCTGAGGTCAGAGATAAAATAAAAATGCACAGGAGTACATATAAAGTAGGAAATCTATACATAAAATCTCTCAAAAAAACCTATGGCAGGATTTTTTTGCACAAAAAGAGGATCAGAAAGGATAGAAACACTCACATGGAAAACAAACATCTTTTCTGGGTGGTACTCACCATTTTTTAGATTTGAGCCTGGGAGGAGGGTTTCTTGGTATGAGGAAGAGTGCACGCATGGGGTGCATGTCACAAAGGGCTGTAAGAAGACACACACATGCAGAATGTCAATAAGAATTCAAGAGACAGAGAAAACAAAGACTACTATTAAGAAAATCTGGCACTCACGTGGCGCTCCTTCAGCCATTTCAATTGCTGTGATACCACAAGACCATAGATCACTCTGCAAGAGAAGATGACACCCATTAGCCACATGCACACATGCTCAGACAAATCAGCGTGTTCACAGGTGCTATCCACCTGTTTTACACAATGATATAATGTCAGGCTTTGAGTGCTTGAGACTTCTACGGAGGCTCTTACTCTGTAATCATATGTAGCGTCTGGGTTCTCGTCACAAGCAATGACTTCTGGGGCCATCCAGTAAGGGGTCCCGATGAAGGTGTTTCTCCTCCCCACTGTCCGATCCAGCTGAGCGCTCACACCAAAGTCAACTAGAGAGAGAGAGAGAGTGACCATAGTCAACAGGGTGTTCATGTTGTTAGGAGAAAGTAATCATCATTTTTCTACCTGATCCGTCACAGCTGATGCTATGAAAGCAATTCATGCTTAAAGTTATCATCCCCTAATATCATTTATGATTTTCAGCAATAGGCATTCAATGTACAGTATTTATATTCTGTAAGTACTTCTCTTTATGGTGATTTTCATTGTTAGTAGCGGAGTCCGTCATTCCCGTGCAGGATTCAAATAGTCTCCCTACACATGAGGGATCTCCAGGAAATAATGCATGCATCACCAAATCAACCGCGAGTGAACTATTAAGAAGGATTTTTATGGAACAACAGAGTGCCGTGCTTTCGTTTTCTAGAAAAGGAAAATGTAATTTTGGAAAGAGAAGTTTGCTATAAAATGGTCAAAACTATAAATTTAAGTGGATAAAAACATCACTGGTTTGTGGAGGAAGATGAACTGCAAGTCAGATGAAATGACCTATCCTTTCTGTTGAGGAAGCAGACTAAAGGCGCCTATAGACTGTGAGATGACAACAATCATTGCATGTCATGCTGAGCGAAAGGACTCTAATAAAACCCTTGTCAGAATCTGTGTCAGACTGGACAAAATCAATTTTGAGGCATGTCAGATTGTAGGAAGAATGCCTGGTGAATCATATCACTACAATGTAAATAGAGAAAAAACCCAGATTCAATCAGACACATATCAACAACCCCTGTCATCCATTTGTACTGCTCTCATATTTTCAAAATGTGGTCAAACAACAGAATTTTGATAAAACCTGTCTTTGGTGTTGGAAGCTTTAAAGGGCCCTGAAAACCCTTTTTGCCATCCAGCTTCTTCTTAATGAGTGACCGCGTCCTACACAAACACACAATTTTCTGATGGCAGGTTTGGTCATTTCACATTAGAGACTTTCACACTTGTTGGTCCTTTCTTTTCTAACAGCTTTGAAGTGGAAGGGGGCTCAGTTGGAAAACCATGATCCGTGTTTAGCGGCATTTGAATGTACAACAAAATGTAATGACCACAGTTTTTGTTCGACGACCAAAGAATTCACCACCTTTCTCTCAAGATTGTCAACTTGTTTGGGCCCAAAATGCACAGCGTAAATTGACAATAGATCCTCAGCAGCTGACACTGATCTGAGACAGTTATTAAAACACATCACTAGCCCCTCACCTAGTTTGACTTCAGCATTCTCAGTCAACAGGACATTCTGGCCCTTTATGTCACGATGGATGACATGGTGGGCATGTAGGTGGGCCAGACCCTGAGGAGCAGAGAGACACAGGACATGAGTGACTGTGGAAGGGGAGAGGAGAGGAGAGGAGAGGCGGAGAGGACAATGAGCTCACTCTGAGGATCTCTCTGGAGATGTACGCGATCCAGTCTTCCTTCAGCTGGTTCCCCTTGGTGTTCTTCACCAGGTCTGTGATTGAACCAGCTCCACAGAACTCCATCACCAACTAAGAAACAGGGATATGATATAAATCATCAGAAGATTAGTCCATGATATCTGACCAAACAATAATACCTTTAATGCATGACCTTTGAAAACATTGCCCAAAGAGACCACAGTAGTATGAACTACAAGAAAAAGAAAATACTAAGAGGGTTGAGCAGAAAAGATAACTGAAAAAAGGAAAAGTTTTTGGAAGAAATAATCATGGAATCTACATTTTTCTACCTTCTTCTCTTCTTCTCTTCTTACTCGACCTTAATTACTGAATGGATTTGAGGACTTACCCATAGCTGGTCATCGTGTCCCGGGGGGCTCTTCTTAATGAAAGCACCATAGTAGGTGGCTATGTTTCGATGGTGGGAATACTTCTTCAGCATATTGATCTCCAGTTTAATTTCCTCCTCCTCATCCTAGACACACAAACAAGTTACAGAAGTAAAAAAGAACAAGAGGGTGTTTGTTGTATCCTTCCACTGGAAAATCTTTATGCCGGAATACAATAATCAGTGTGTGTGGGCATCGGCCTTTAATCATCATATGGCCTCGGCTGATTTCATTTCAGACCCAAATCAATTCACTTCCATATTTAGGGTCAAAGCAAGTGTCAAGCTATGGGACAACGCCCTGGTGGGGTTTCATTTCAGCTTGGCCAGGCCTCATTCATCCTGCGTCTAGGACTCGGCTACGGAACAATGCAGTATGATTTGTCTAAATAATTCCTTTGTTTAGGGATTAATGATGCATGAGTGAGTCTCATTGTGAGGTGATGTGTACAGTAGCCATTAGCAGTATTCCATGTAAAAATAAATAAATAAATAAATACAAAAAATCAAATATACATTGGATCTATGGCAAATCCCCCCACAGATAATACATTAGTATCAGGCTGATATTATCATGATTACAGCTGTTTAGGGCTGGGAAGGAAGCCAGATCAACTGCCAGATGTAGCTTTGATGCAGTGTTAAGTGAAGCCTCTGTTGGGTATGGCCTTTAGTGCAAGTAAAATAAGTAAACCTGTTCAGTATCACATCTTCATAAAAAGGTCATAATTAGCTGCAGTGCTAACTCCCTGCTTGAACCCAATAGCAAGATGACAATGATTAACAGTGACAGTGAGTTGAACACACGCAGGGATCAACCCATGGGTGGTTTGCTTTATGGTTACATGGCCACTCCTATAGAAAGTACAGTGGGAGGAGGGGGGACATAAACCAAAGGTGGGGGGGGTTGTACAGCAATCACTGCAGACTAGAATGTGTGAGGTTTGCCTCTACTTATTAACAGTGATTTTATTTCATTTATCACCAGGCGGCACAGCACCAAAATGTGAAAGAAAGGTGATGCTATGTGGGTGTTACCATACTGTATTGTGCATCAAAAATAGCAAAATGGCAGTTGGCTGTCCATGCAGGCGGCCATACTGCTGCTGCATGACTCGTTTGAGTTGACGTAAGCCTTTCTGTTGTGCGCACCCCCGCTTCCCAACCCTTCCCCCCCCATCTCTGCTGTGCAGCTGTTGGATTATCACACTCCCGACAGTGAAAGCCTCGCCGCCACAATTCAGGTTGTGAGGTGAGGGAAAGACTGACACAATCATATGGTGATGCATGTCAGAGATAAAGCAGAGGAGGAATGAAGCTTTGTATTCCCTCATATCCTCTGCACTCAATCAAAATACACACACATAAGACACAACTAATCTGTGGTACTAGGTCACACACTATCTTCATGCATTATGCTTTAAGATACACTCAAGAAGAAATAATAAGGTACAAACTATATAAAATACAATTTTTTCTCAAGCTTAATTTTTTATTGTCCATCATATGGACAAAAGCCAAAATTCTGGTTAAAAGAGTTTAAATGCTGGGTTCCAAACTGCAAAAACAAAACCCGGCCTTTACGAAATTGAAGCGCAAAGCCCAAATCACCCAGTCATCTCTATACCAGACAAATGGTAATGCTTTTAATAAAATTGAATGAAAGTAGAGAGGCATCCATTTTTAGCTTCGGGAGCTATATGACGGCACAGAAGAGGAGTGGAGGAACATTTGGATTTGAGAATGTGGAGCAGGGATGAGAATGTGGGTCAGAGTGACACTGGACAGGCCAGCGTGCCTAGGGATGAGCTCCGCAGGCAGGACAGTGGAGAGAGCACAACATGGCCTCACTAAACCACAGCGAAGATGATCAAGTAACCGTTACAAGAAAAAGAAACCCATTTGAGTGCGATTAAGATGCTACAAAGTTAAGTCAAGTCACAAATACCTTGTTGGGTTGGTCACAGATGGATGTTTTAGCATTACTATACTAACTTGGAATATCTGTAAGAATATATTCTCTACCCATTCGGGTGCTTGCGATTTCATTTTAATGAGTGATTATGAGGTTTAGGGCTGCAACTAACTGCCATTAATCTGCAGATTATTTTCTCGATTAACTGATCAATTGTTTGGGCTAAAATACGTCAGCATATAGTGAAACATTCCTGTCACAATTTCCGCAATCAAAAGGTCTCATAGTCTATACTGACACCTTTCAAAGTGCACTCATATCACATCAAACTGTCTCATTATCCACTTACCACCAAATGCAAATTTGTCACTCTAATGGATTAGCATACTATTTAATGCCCACAAATTGAATCACAGTTAAAAATCACTGAGAGGTCTAACAGTAAGTAAGCTTTATCACTTTAATGGAGATTTCTGTCTAGGACTTTTACGACAGCATAAGCTAGCGTTAAAGGCACACGCCCAATATTAGTCACTGTTATGTACAGTCCTAAATACAGCCAAGCTCTGTCACAGGAAAACCAACATAGTGTGTTGTGTAAGGTGTTGGGACGCTGTGAGCCTCCAGAGCAGCTTCAACGCACCTTGGCCTAGATTTTAAAAGGTCTCTGAAACTATACTTTGAGTCACATCGTTTTCACACTGATCAAATAAATCAGTGAGCCCTCTCTCAACTTATTTTTCCTTTAATTTGTCTCCTTAATTACAAAAATAATTTCACTTCTAAATGAGACGCAACAAGCGGCAATCATTTTCACAACATATGGTAAAAACAGGTTTAGCCTCAGTGGGCCCCTGCTACAGTGGGTACGGAAAGTATTCAGACCCCTTTAAATTTTTCACTCTTTGTTTCATTGCAGCCATTTTCCAAAAATCAAAAAAGTTCATTTTATTTCTCAGTAATGTACACTCAGCACCCCATCTTGACAGAAAAAAAACTGAAATGTAGAAATTTTTGCAAATTTATTAAAAAAGAAAAACTGAAATATCACATGGTCATAAGTATTCAGACCCTTTGCTCAGTATTTAGTAGAAGCACCCTTTTGATCTAATACAGCCATGAGTCGTTTTGGGAAAGATGCAACAAGTTTTTCACATCTGGATTTGGGCATCCTCTGCCATTCCTCCTTGCAGATCCTCTCCAGTTCTGTCAGGTTGGATGGTAAACGTTGGTGGACAGCCATTTTCAGGTCTCTCCAGAGATGCTCAATTGGGTTTAAGTCAGGGCTCTGGCTGGTCCATTCAAGAACAGCCACGGAGTTGTTGTGAAGCCACTCCTTCGTTATTTTAGCGGTGTGCTTAGGGTCATTGTCTTGTTGGAAGGTAAACCTTTGGCCCAGTCTGAGGTCCAGAGCACTCTGGAAAAGGTTTTCGTCCAGGATATCCCTGTACTTGGCCGCATTCATCTTTCCCTCGATTGCAACCAGTCGTCCTGTCCCTGCAGCTGAAAAACACCCCCACAGCATGATGCTGCCACCACCATGCTTCACTGTTGAGACTGTATTGGACAGGTGATGAGCAGTGCCTGGTTTTCTCCACACATACCGCTTAGAATTAAGGCCAAAAAGTTCTATCTTGGTCTCATCAGACCAGAGGATCTTATTTATCACCATCTTGGAGTCCTTCAGGTGTTTTTTAGCAAACTCCATGCGGGCTTTCATGTGTCTTGCACTGAGGAGAGGCTTCCGTCGGGCCACTCTGCCATAAAGCCCCGACTGGTGGATTGCTGCAGTGATGGTTGACTTACTACAACTTTCTCCCATCTCCCGACTGTATCTCTGGAGCTCAGCCACAGTGACCTTTGGGTTCTTCTTTACCTCTCTCACCAAGGCTCTTCTCCCCCGATAGCTCAGTTTGGCCGGACGGCCAGCTCTAGGAAGGGTTCTGGTCGTCCCAAACGTCTTCCATTTGAGGATTATGGAGGCCACTGTGCTCTTAGGAACCTTAAGTGCAGCAGAAATTTTTTTGTAACCTTGGCCAGATCTGTGCCTTGCCACAATTCTGTCTCTGAGCTCTTCAGGCAGTTCCTTTGACCTCATGATTCTCATTTGCTCTGACATGCACTGTGAGCTGTAAGGTCTTATATAGACAGGTGTGTGGCTTTCCTAATCAAGTCCAATCAGTATAATCAAACACAGCTGGACTCAAATGAAGGTGTAGAACCATCTCAAGGATGATCAGAAGAAATAGACAGCACCTGAGTTAAATATGAGTGTCACGGCAAAGGGTCTGAATACTTATGACCATGTGATATTTCAGTTTTTCTTTTTTAATAAATTTGCAAAAATTTCTACATTTCTGTTTTTTTCTGTCAAGATGGGGTGCTGAGTGTACATTACTGAGAAATAAAATGAACTTTTTTTTCACATTTAAGTAAGTTTTACTTACCATTTTTGGAAAATGGCTGCAATGAAACAAAGAGTGAAAAATTTAAAGGGGTCTGAATACTTTCCGTACCCACTGTATATGCAAAATGATTTCCATTTAACAGAAGCAGTGTTTTCATCAAGTTACGACATGTCTAGAGGGAGCACCTACAGTAGTGTCCTGTCATACAGAACAGGAAACAATTGGGCAATATTCTTTGTACTGGTTATGCACGATAACAAATCAGTGTGTAACTCTGACTCGTCCTGACGTAGCTTTATGTGAGGAGTGGCAGCAGGCAAGTCGGGGCACACGGGCTACTGCTGCTGCGTCAGTGGCCTCTTTCGGGGGTTATGCTGATCATAGCGCCAGTGTATGTTGGAAATATGTGGCACCCAGTGGTGGTAAATGTGTCCTTATATAAATATGCGTGGGTGAAATTTAGCAGATGACTTTAGACTTTGTTGCCCCAGGGAAGACGATGAAACCCTTAGTGCAACTCGTTCACCAGTAAGGCCTGTCATTGGTGTGTACCAGTTACACCCATATTCCTCCATCATCATTATGGCAGTGTGGGTGGTTGGCCCTGCTGGCCTTCGCTGCTACACTGAAACCTTCTGCTTTGTGTTTCTGCATATGTTCATGTGCGGTTGTGTCCCTGCTGCAGACAAGACCTCCCACGGCTAAGGGCAGCCTGCTGGTCGCTAAATGACGCACTTCACTCAATAAGCATCCTGTTGCCTCTACCCTTCCTCTGCTGTTTATGATGTGTGTGTGTGCGCGTGTGTGTGTGTGTATGGGGGGGGGGGGGGGGGGGGGGGGGGGGGGTCATAGCAGAGCATGGCATTTTCTCCTCTGTAAGCTCAAAACCATGTGCCAACAAGTGATATCCAAGTATAATGTTGTAGAGCTGATAACTTCTGTTCAGTACAACCCACAATTCACAATACAAAAGGGGGTGAGGGGGCAACCCTCTGGAGTTGAAATAGAGAAGAAAACCCTAGCAATGACTTCATCACTTCAAGTTCTTAAGATGTGACAAAAACCTCAACAAACACTGGTCATAACTAATCTGTAAATCTGTGGAAAGGCCAGGCAACACATGCATGTGAAGCCAGTGACGTGATTGAAGTTAGGCTAAATCATGTTATTTATAAGATGGACTAATCTGACTGTCTTTGTCCAATCAAAAAATAAAGTTGTTTATATACATCATAGTATGGTGTGCCTAATTTGCATTACATTGAATCCTCTGAAGTGACTGCCACACGTACATTGTGGTGTTGAAGCTGAAACCATATGTTGTTTGGCCTTACCTCTGTGACGTCCATGACTTTGATGGCAGCCAGCTGTCCAGTCTTGACATGTCGTCCCTGTGACAAGACAAAACAGAGGTGAGCATCCATGTTTCACTTGGCAAACTCAATGTCCGGTTAATAACTGTCAACTGGGTGATAATCAATGAACTAAGGATGAATGTAAGCTCAGCTTCCTAAGAAGTTAAATAAATGTAAAAGGTATCAATTTGTATTTTTATACATAGGTTGTAAATAATCATACTCTCCACATTATTTTCTATATTAATGGATTATCTTTTTATATAACCACAAATGCCCATCACAGTTTCCAATTATGTTGTTAGCTGTTTTTAAATCTGCGGCAGTTCTCGTGAGACTGGTGTCAGAGTCATCTGGATGTCAATTCCTAATCATTCCATAATCAACTGCCATTTATATGTCACAAGGCAATCAATTGTTTAATTGTTCTCATGAAAGATTGCAATCTCAAACCAGATAGATCCCACAGTGAAGTAAACCAACTATATACAGAACATACCACATATGAGCATATTATTCCCAAGCTATGTAGTCCCAACATTCCCAGACTTCTCTGCTCTCCTAACACCCTACTGCCACTCCTTACATAAACAAAAGACCGAAATAGAGGCCTCTCTGTCCCATCCCTCCCACCCTGCTACCCCAAGAGGAGATAAAACATGGGACATTTTTTGGGAGCTGGCCCAATTGGGTATGGGTATTCCCCTTCCGACTCTTTAGGACAACACAGCAGTGATATAGCTGCTTTGTCTCTCAGCAACTGTATCAGGGACACATGCATCCAATACACTGTGCAGAGCCCGTGCACGGCTGTAGAAGGAAGACGCATGTAAATGCACATTCGTTCACACAGACACACGTGAACGCCGCCACCACCACCTTCGCCACTGCATTCCATAGTCAACTGAAACAGTATGGATTATGACAATCAAAGCCATGCGGGCTTAGGGGCCTTTTCTTTTCACAGGGCAGGAGAGGGGAATGAGAGGGACACTTTACAATGCCTTTAATCCTCTCCACTTTGATCCCAGGGGTCGCCACTACAAAAACAACACTGAAGCTGACATTACGGCCGTCAACTCCACATGTACTCGCTGCTAGCGCTGATGCAGCCTGCTTGGCTGCGTTCACTGCTAACAGGTGTTACCCAGAGAAACTCAATAGTCATCCTTACTTTTAAAAGGTACTATGTACTATTCAGTGGAAAAAATTAATCAATTAGTCAATTAGCTGAATGACAGGAAAGTAATCCGAGACCATATTGATGAGACAATGTAACTTCTGGCAGAACAAATATATTCTTCCTCTTACAAATGAAGCTCATAAGCAATAAAATGTACCTTTGCTCATTTCAACATGCTGAGAGGCCACAGCCTCACCTGGTCTGGTGTGACCTGTAGCTTGTTGTGGCCAATGTTAGCAAACTTTAAATACATATTGCTGTAACACAGACATCACTGAGGTATTTTGTTGACTTTATTTTCTATTTATGGTCCCACGCATTCTCAGTCAGGTCACCTAATGATGGTGTCTTTAGAACAACAGACCATAGATAATATTGTGCCATCATCGTATAATTGCTGCTTGTGGCCGCTATTCAGCAATTGCATAGTTTTGCTTCAAATCATTAAATTCACGGTTCACAGCCCCTCAAATGTGAATATTTGCTGTTTTTTGCAGGTTAAATGAATATTTTGGGTTTTGGACTATTGGTCAGACAAAAGACATCAGCTTGGGCTTTGGGGAAAATGTGACAGGAACCAATGTTGTAAAAAGCCCTCTAGCCCACACTAGGTGTAAACACTGCACCCGTAGGGGTTAAATGGTCTTAATCTTAAAAATAAGTAGAAAGAAAAAAAGGGGTCAGGAATTGAAGAATCAAGATGCCAATTGTGTTTCTGCGCTGATAAACCTCCTCTATTAGCACTACTCACTCACTCTGAGTTGAATACTTTTTGGAGACAAAGCTTGCTTTGATCCAAGGATGTAATCACAGAGAGGCCATCCAGATACTTGTGGGATACAGCCAGCTCGCAAACAATGCCATTTATCTGTCTTTTTGGCTTTTAACAAACCCAAGGGGTGGGTTCTTACACTTTTGCATTTGACATTTGCCTAGATAAATGTGTGTAAATATATGACCGCCTAGCAGAAATGCCTGTTTACATTGGGTTTATTGATAATTTGAAAATATGTGTTTGGAGAAACCAGGAGGTGAGAATACAAAGTGTTTTTTGCTATGATTCAGTCTCTGTGAGCCTGAAGAATTTATGGTCGTAATAAACGCCTCTCAGCTTCTGGGTGGAGATAGGGTTATTTAGGCCACAAGGTTATTGCATTTGATACCACAAAACAACTGGGTTACACAACATTAGCACATGAGTAATGAGAGTTTCTTGACATGCTTGAATCCCTTTCCTTCATCTGTCTATTGCCCTTGAAGTAAGGAAAACACTGAGCAGTTACTTGGGATTTAATTACAAATGATGTGAATCAGCACAAATTAAAGAGGCAAGTTTTGGGAAAGTCAGATATGGAGAAAGGATTCTGCCAAGTCTGCTCAATAGATCCTAAAAATCTACTATTAACTAGGTTACTGTATGTACTAGGAACTGGCCATGTATTCTCAATGAGACTGTAAATTATCCATTAATTTGTGGCAATTTCTTTAATTAATTTATTAAAAATGTTTTGACTGTAATATAAAAATCTTCTAAAATATCTGTCAACATTTATTTTATTCTTCATAAGCACATAATACATTGATAAGGATATTCCGCCAGACACTGAAACCATGCTCCTGACCTCAGTTTCAACATGGATCTGGCACTCCTATGTTTTGGTTGGGAAGGGCAGGTTTTTACACTACTATTAACTTATTACAGATACTGGCGACTACTTCTAGCCCTCTGAACCATAAATTATGCCCTCCTTAATAACAAGGATATTTAGTTATTGAGCTTAACGGCTCACAGAGCATAATTTGCAGCATTCAATGACTGACTAGCAAGCAGCAGCAAGTGACATATTGAATTTTTACTTTCACTAACTTCTGAATAATGGCAACACGTGATAATAGAGAATTCATAGTCCATCATAAGTCTATGGCATAACCAGAGATTAATCAAAAAATGCACCAACGCAGACACTGCTTCATTCTATAATGTCTTCCTTAACTTGCACTTGCTACAACATCAAGAAAACATCTACCGCTCTCTACTTATAAGGCAAACTGTCCTATATATGGCGGCAACAGATGAGTATTTTCATTACCGATTAATGTGTTGATTATTTTTTACACTTACCTGATCAATTGTTCTAGGCTAAAAATGTCTGAACATAGTGAGAAATGCAAGGTAACAAATTCAAAGAGCCAACGTTCGAGTCTTAAAATGTCTTGTGTTGTCTGACCAAGAGCCCCAAATCAATTTACAATATTAAGCAACAGTTTTCACATTTTGAGAAGCAAAATGTTTGCCAACTTCCTTGATAAAAAACGTAAACAATTAATTAATTATAAAACTGCTGAAAATGTATAATAAACAAATCAATAATCCACTGATCGTTTCTTATCCTGTGGCTGTGCCCCTATTACAGACCCTAGAAATAGGCATGGCTTGATCGCTAGAAGGCTGCGGCTAGGCCCTACAGGGCCCCTTGAAGCAGCCAGCTAGGCGTGGCTGTGGAGGGGTTATCTGAGGCACTGAGTTATCACTCAGCTCTCCCTGGCCTCCATCTCCACTCCTCCCATCGCAGCTCTTCTTAACCATGGCCAGATGTGCTGCTGGCCTCCCTCCAGCTCAGCACTAAACCACTGACTGACTTATTGCCTTTAGAGCCAGAGACATTAAGTTACAATCTACCCTAAAACAAAATACACGAGTCTATGGAGGGCTCAATTAATAAAACTGTGGAGGAGAAATCTCAGTCAGCGCTAGAAACTCTGTAAGAGCTGCTCAAACAGGTTGCTCTATTAAACTGAGTGCTGACATAAGGGTTTTGTAGAATTTCCCATTAAATGAGCATTAGTTCACAGGCATGTATAAACTACAAAGTGTGCCAACAGTGCCATTTAAAGAAAATACACGTCAGGTGTCACAGTGTTTCACCATTACTCCAGCATCTCTAGGTACATAAACCAAACACAGTTCTCGATATTTGTTAGGAAATTCGTGCTTTAGGGTGGATTTCCACTTAAGAAAAGTGAGCAGTAATGCACAGCAGTATTGTTAGTGGTCTGCCCACAGGAGTTGGGTGGACAATGGGGGAGTACAGTTTCCCATACACTTTTCCACAAGGCTCATATCGTGATTGACCAGAACACAAAGAACCTCTCCCCTCCCTGCATCATTCACGTTAATGTAACATCAATTACAACCATTTCAAAATGCTGACAGGCTTTCAAACAAGGTAAACCTAATGTTCCCCCACCCCACAACAGGACTCTTGGCCCTGAGAGCTGAAAATGAGCGACATGCTTTCTCACTAGCCATGTAGGTGCAAAACAAACTTGGTTTCATATTATTAGTACACACAGCGAGGGAGGGAGAGAACTGCTGGGTGCCATGGTTCGGATCTGTAAAAGGTCACAGGTGAGTGTGTGAGCCTGTAGTGCCGCATTAATGAGATGGATGACCCCTCACGCAGGGTCATGTGAACATCTAAGGTGATATTTGAACTGGCAGACTGAGTAGGTGGGTGGACAGAAGGTGATAAACAGGCAGGTCAAACCCCCCCCCCCCCCCCCCCCCCCCCCTCCATCCACCTTGGGAAGCAGATGCAGCAGCAGAAGACGTATAAACTCAAGTTCATTTCAAAACTTGACGCTGCACACACACTTCTGCCTACGCCTTCCACAACACGCATCAGATAAATGCTGGGGAAAGGAATGATCAATTAGCAGTAAGCAGCAGCACGTGACATCCAGGGCTGTGGCTTGCCCCTGCCTCTCTGGACTCTACCACTTTTCATACTGCCGCTGCATACCAGCACACTGACCCAATTCTCACACACACTCAGCCTCTGCCCTGCTCCTC